AAAGACATCAACATGGCCATGATCACTAGAAACCCAAACAAATGAGAAGTATTGGGGCACATATTTCCTTCGTCAGTGCCTACTCCTACCACAATAGGAGCCCCCGCTTCTCCAGTGCCATACAATTTACTTGGCTCGTGTGATCGGAGTTTGTCGACGCGAAGCGTATTCACTCCTTCAAAGCTTCGCATGCGTGCCATTCTGACTCTCAACGTACCACCAGAACGCCACGCTGACCAGTGTGGTACAACTCAACTGTCCACAAATCTGCCCTCCGTTGAAGATCGAGCTCTCGTGGCGCACCACCTTGATTGCCCGTCGGTGTTTACGAGCCCCACAACGGATAGCTTCTAAGGTTGCACGGCGGGCTTGTTGGTTATTCTTGTTGTTCGAGGTATAGCGCATCCAGGACGGGACAGAGAAGAAAACACAGAACACATACACGGCGCTAACTTTCATCTGTTTTCTGGTTCTAGCACGTGGTTGTGACGCGCCATGTTTGGGTATAAGTATTGCTGTTTCTCGGATTAAACCACATTGTTGAAAGTTAGCGCCGTGTATGTGTTCTGTGTTTTCTTCTCTGTCCCGTCCTGGATGCGCTATACCTCGAACAACATGGATAGCTTTTGTGGCTGCTCCATCGAAGACGTCGAAAGCATGCGCTGCGCTCCACTGCTCGTCTCCGTTTCTGCGCCTGTGCCCGACGCCGTAACATCGCTTGCGGAGGCTGACACCACTACTCATGCAGCGCAGGTGAAGGAGCGAACCCCAACTTCGCCAGTCACAAAAACGCGCGCAGATGTCTCCTGACGTGCTTGGCGTGCTTCCAGTACATGCACTGGAGGAGCCCATCGCATCCACTGCCGTGCTCGCCGACATGCTAGAACCACTTGTTCAGCTTCTAGAGCAGTTACCTACTCAATGCTCCCTCTTTCGCTTCGCACTACAAGCTACGAACAAAACAGAGAAAATTTTCACAACAGGCATTAATAGGAAGCTGCCATGACACGCCAAAGTATGGAAGAAACAAATATTGGAAAACATAAGCTCAAGTACAGCAAGAAGCAGCCTCACAATCACAAGAAACGTGTGGGAAACGCACACTTAAGAGACTTGTCAACTTTGTTGGCTACTCGGATGCGGCTCTAGTATGCTCCTTTTTATATGGTGCGTGCCCCGTTTTCTCCGTGACTCGGTCAACGTCAATCACCCGATTCATTGTTGACAGCTGAAGTGACGTCGCTTCGTGGCCGAGGTTAACCGTTGCCACAAAGCCAATGTCAACCCCGAAATCTCCGTCAGTTGGACCAGACAAGCTGCCATCACAGCAATTCCTATCGACACAAAATCGAACTCAGCGCTACAGCGCAACCAGCCCTCCAGAGTTCTCTGCGCAAGAGCATCCAGGTAGGCTGCAACGTTAGAAAAACCGACCACCGAGAAACAGCAAATGCTGACCACCAGATATGGTTGTTACAGGTGACGATGAATTGCCCATGACGACTACAGACAAAGCACTGCTGACAGAATGACACACTTGCAGGGTGGCCGAGTGAAATGAACCAATCATGGCGCCCAGGCACTGGCGCTAGCATAGCTAGCGTGTAGAAGAGAAGGACGAAGTACAATAAGAAAAACCGGCCCAGCAAACGGGTTTTGTGTCTTACAACTCTGTCCCACGTAGCAACTTAAGTGCACTTTGAGCGAGTACATTTAGTCGCGAGTGTCATTTGTGCGCTGTCACACGAGCAAGTTTAGTATCACTCGCTGCAAACTACGCTTGCCGGCAAGTGCGTTTTTCAACCCCACTTCACAACGACAGCTGCGATGAAGTGTGTAGCCTCGGTACCAGTGACTTGACTTGTACATGAAGACGCTTTTGCATAAAGTAGCGCTCATACTATATTTCAACCATTGTTTTTGTTATGATGGATACTGTTTTTAAAAAATCATAAAATACAACACCGTCGCTACTTTCAACGTCGGGCTGTTTGCGGCCACGTCCGCTTGGGGAATGCGGCAGCACATGCACAGCAATGGCTGCGTCCGTCGCGTTGTTTACTTCCAGGTGCACTTGCACATGTGTGAGTTGTTCTCTAGTCATTAAAGATGGTACGCGCCACAGGTGCTACTTCCACCAAGACAACTTGGCCCGAAAAGGAGACGCAGGCACAAGAATAACAAGTACACGTTGTGCTACAAATCTGTTAATCGTCACTGCCATCATTTACAGAGTGTACACTTCGCTTTCTTGTGTAGCAGCGAACCACCAAAAATTACACTTCGTGAGCGTAAGTACACTCGCTCAAATTGCATATAAATTGCGCGTGTGACAGGGGTATTATTTCTTCACTACAGTGGTTAAATATCTGTATCTACTTTAATTGTACGTGACTAAAACATTGTTGACTTTCATATTCCTTAGATATCTGATTTATTCATTTTTCCTAAGTTTGAAATTTCGTGCTCAATATAATAAGCGCTGATTGAATGGCCAATACCCTGTAGGGGGTACAAGAGAAACAAAGGCACAAGTATGCAAGCAATGCTTTATTCTTGGCCAATTCCTCAGCGTAGGTGTGCGCCACATCGTCAAGGATCTTAACTTAACTTGACTTGTTGTTCATTATGCCAGAGATGGCTGTGCTATATGTTACTTTACCGGCGTTAAGCCGAGACAGTGAGACGTCGACAGCATACGACCGCCAGTCGCATTGATGTATTCCGTCCCTGACTTGAGAAACAGAGCGTTAGCACTCATGTCCTTTTCGTTCATTCTGTGGGCATTCAGCACCAAGAAACGCACACAGCTGCAAAAGCATCCACTCGTCCCACATCGACTTCTCCGCCGAAAAGAAGATTAAATGAATAGCACTTTCGCGGAAGCGCAGCAATGAATGACGAATCGGTGCTCGAGGGATGCCACCTCCACGGTTAGCGACGCTGGTTATTTCTGAAATAAGCTGAGTAGAATCTAGTCCGTATTTGATGGGTTAATGCGATCCCACCTATGACTGACGACTCGATGAAGGTATGTATAGCCCTTCACTTTCCTGTACTCTGAGAACGATAAAGTGGTGTTTACATGACGAATCGCAGGTGTTCTCGGTGACGTTGTATATTCTTCGACGTTGTATGTTTCTGCAAAGTTCATTCACTACCGTTGCCTTTGTAGTTTTCTTTAGGCGCGTCTAAAGAATATGGATACGCCACGAGCCTAAAACATCGCATAGGTTTCTCAAAATTTTTGTGCATGTCTCACTTGAAAAAAATTAAAGAATTGAAGAATTGCTCGCTATGGCCACAATATCTAAAACTAAATGCGAGAGCAGCTTGACTCGTGTTCTCGTTTTGCCATGTAATCAGGCAATGAGGTTGGGAGCGACATGCGCGTATAGTAATGAATAAGTCATTTTTTTCCATTTATTTTCTCTTTTCTTTCATATTGCTTTGCATTTCGAAGTTCTTATTTGCGGTGACTCGAGCTTCATTTGCGGCGAACTGTTTCAACATATTGTTTTGTTTTCTTTACTTATTCGTTCATTATTTTTATTCACAAGTGTTGAAAGTTGCGTGAGGTGGTTATTCGTACTTGAAACGGTATAACGCGCCACGGTAAAGAACAAATGGTCGAGCAGACAGACACAAGGGGACGGATCATGTTTCCGCCAGTTGGAAGTTAGCGCCCTGTCCTCTTGTGTTGGTCCACTCGGCCATTTCATTCTGTACCATGATGCGATGTACAGCCGCAGCCACGTCTGTGTAGAGCGCGCGAGGAGCCGGTTTTCTCTCCGCGGCGCGAAACCTTGAGGCAGTTTCGTGCTCTGAAGTGCTGTGTCAGAAGCATTGTGCAGCCTAGCTGTCAGGCTGACCACATCAGAGCCCTGAAAATGCCTCGAGATTTCGTCCCGCAGAGCGAGAACTGCCTCCTCGCGTGCTCTACACAGACGTGGCCGCAGCTGTACCAGTGAAAGTATTTGTATTCAGAGGAAAAAATTTCAGAGTTATCCAGACTGCCTCGGCATGTTATGGAAAGCTTTTCGTGGCTTGAGACGAGTGTGCCAAAAGGTGTTTAACTAGCTGCGTCGTTCACTCGGTTACGGTGATGGAGAACAGGGGTCGATGCTAGATGCTGTATTGCGCAGCTACTATCTGCGCTTGGAAATTGATTGCCCTTCCCGGCCCGCAAAAGCGTAATTCCACCAGAGAGCCTGTGTTGAATACTGCCGCTACAATTTTTATGCAGCGCGAAATGCGAAGTCAATGTTCGATGGGGCTAGAGCGCATGCGGCTGTATGGTGACGTCACGTTACGTGGAGAAGTGACATCATAAAGCAAAACGTCTCTGGATGACATCCTTATGTTAAGCGTTACATTAAGCGATGATATCGCCTTCAAGAGTGATGCCTCACGATTTCACTATCGTGTAATGACGCCAGTCGATGGCGTATTGTTTTGTCCATTGAATTAGTAACGAACGCTTCCACTATCTTGCACCGCAGGTTGCGGGTTCGAATCCCGGCTGCGGCGGCTGCAATTCCGATGGAGGCGGAAATAATGTAGGCACGTGTGCTCAGATTTGGGTGCACGTTAAAGAACCCCAGGTGGTCGAAATTTCCGGAGCCCTCCACTACAGCGTCTTTCATAATCATATGGTGGTTTTGGGACGTTAAACCCCACATATAAATCAAATCAATCCCACTTTATTGTAGGGTAACGAAGTCTCGCATAATTGTCTGAGCCGCCAAACATCCGCAGTGACTCGAGGGTGAAAGCTTCGTAGTACAAATTCGCATGACGCCCAGCTGGGCTCCGATAAAGTCGTTTATGACCTTTTTCAGCGTTTACGCCGTGCTACTTCAAAACAAATCGAAAGTGAATAGCTCCGACTAGGCAGGTGTACGCTTAGTCCTTTCCTTCCTCTTTCTCTCTTTTTGCGGCCATAAAAAGAGCAACATTCTCATTTAGTCTTTGTGCTACATAGTGTGCGGGTGAGACAATCTAGGGCTTTAACAAGAAAGTTCATTTTGGGGACTACGTGACACAAGCTAACCTTAGCGGTCACATCAGAATATTTCCGGATCAGTGTTTTTTTTAGTAGCCTGCGTGCGTGAAAAAAGCAGCGCAGTGTATTGTGCAGCCAACAGGTGTACAGTCGATAGTGCCGAGAAGTATACATCGTAGCACATCTAGAAAAGCTGACGCATCAGATCTGCAGATCGGGGTCTCGACGACTGACGACCTTACTTCACGTTTTCTTAAACATGGTGAGTGTTTCACCAGTTGAAAGAGCAGCTGGAGTACCTTTTTTTTGTTTTTAAGAAGACTTAGGAGCATGTAAGGACAGCTTATAGGCTGCCGAGTTTTGTATTATTATCTGAAGTTTCACGGTACGAAAACCACGATATATCTGTGAGAGAAGCCACAGTGGAGGGCTCCGGCAATTCTTTAACGTCAACCGACATCGCACAGTGTATACAGGCCCCTACCATTTAGCCTCCATCAAAGTGCAGCCGTCGTGGCCGGAACTAAACCCACGACCCTTGGGTGAGCAGTCGAGCCCTTTAACCGCTACACCACCGCAGCTGACGTTCCTGGTGATCCTATTTGCTGTTTGTTCAGTGGTTCTACCCATGAATAAATAGGTGATAGTAGGCGCCTTGCCCCATGTCCTTGCTAACGAATGTGTTTCAAACTCACGCAAACTTTTGATTTCAAGCATAATAACGAGGTTGCTGCCTTGATTTGTTTTTCTCTCAGAGAAAATGAAAGACACCTGTACAGTTTTCCGGTCTTACATCTTACCTCCGCCGCTCCATCAGACGGTTAGCTCTCATGACGCTTCGACTGTTCGACAGTTCGGATGATTAGTTTCTCACGTCTGCCGCTGACCTTGAGCGCTGCCATCGCTGGGACAGATGAGACCTGTTTTGCTGTGCAAGCAATACTAAGCATCCTACACCGTCTCGTTCGCTCTATAAGAACGCACTTGCGTGTAAAGACACACGCGTTACTGTGCGTGTTTCCTTAAGACCACCTAGTGGGTGCATGGCAAGTTCAAAAACATTTCACGCGCATAATCGCTCACTGCCTAAAGGCTGCAACCCATTACACAAAAGGCAATCTCATGCAAAAGCTTCATGGACACAGGTCACATTGAACTTTATGTATTTCAATGTTGCAACTCACCATTTAAACATCCCGAACAACATCAAACAATGGAAAAGTATGCACCAGGCGGTAGATGTGAGCACTAAAGAAAAGATGTTGCTATCTCGTTGAACTCTTAACGACAAAGCTTAAGAGCTCCACAATTTTCGACGAACAATTCAAGCCTTTATATCCATCGACTCGACATGTTGCTCAATGTGCGATAAAGCGCGGACGAGTTGTTCTCGTTCACATCTTAACTTGAAGACAGTCTTCCAAACTCTTCACTCTTCCCTCGGTGTCATCTCTTGAGACTTCAAGGACCAGCTCCACTGACTGTATCCACCAACTCCACCAAGGTATCCACTGACTTGCTGAAGCCAGTCGGTGGATACCATGAGGGAATACTTAAATTGCGAATAACGAAAAAAGACATCAAGAAAAGGGATAAGCGATGACATGGTGCTTTATTGCACAAGTATATGCTCTAGTTTCAACTGCGTATCAGTTCAGGAGGCCGGCTGTTCGTCCAAATCACGCTCGAAGAAAGCACTGAATACAAGCCATAGCAAGGCTCGTAGCTCTCAAACCTGGGCTAAAATGAGAAAACAAGGTCTAAAATTATATATTGAGGAGAAAAAGTGAGGAAATTATGGCATCAATCAACATAACATCGCTAACAAGAGGCTGATTCCAGCCAGGCCGAAGAAAGGGCACGATCACGTCATTGAGCAAGCATGTGTCCTTTTTGTGCCCCCTATACGGCGGCGCTGCGGTACCACATTTACGTAACTACATCTTACGAAAGGAAAAACCCACAGCGCGTATCTGAACGGCCGTGAGAAGCGGCCAGTCGATTAAGCGCATCGAAAAAGACTGCTCATTTCGCACAGTGAGCGTGCACATCTCCCTAACCAAATTGTAATCGTGCCGGTGACACGCTACATTTTTACTTCAAACATTGGCCTCATTGACGTATCCGCCAACGGATCAGTGCGAATTCCGCCAACAAGGATCACTGGGTGTCCGAGTAACGCATATCCTCGGGCTTCATAGTAAAAGAGATTGTTTATGTTCTTCCTTTTTTTATTTTGCTTGACTTTTAAAACAAGACACTGCTTCGCGTAGATCGTGTTGAAAAAGGTTGCGAGATCTGAAAATGAGTTTTTGTGATGCTATCTTAGACGTACAAGTTTTCAGAGGTCATGTTCGCGACCAAAAAGAAACTGGTCAGTGAGTCACTCGACGAACGACTTGCTTTTAGTGAAGCCTAAGACGAAAAGCAACAGAATTTTGGCAAAACGTCGAAAGGAGAAGAGTTTATGACTAAGCGGGGAATGAAAAAGGTCATGAAATACACACTTTGACATCTTCATTTCGAAATGAACAAGATGTTTAGTCGCCCAAAAAACATGGATACCAAGTTTGGCTTTCTCCTGCAATTCAACAAGCCGTGCTACTGGAGTAACTAAAACGAATTAAGAACAAATTGCGGCACTTTTGCAAGTTTTACAGTTCTGACGCTACATCACAGACCCTCTATGAAGATATCTTAGATTGCGACTGATGGTTTCTCAGTGGTTTGATCTGAAAGTGCCAGGAAATGCCAGAAAACTTCTAAAATTTATTGCATGGTATGGATATGACAATGTATTCTTCATACTCCGCGTTACCGTTGTGATGATAGTAATTATAACAGTTTTCATCACTGGCTGTGAGAGATCTTTTATCAACGTGATATTCATACTTTTCTACTTTTGGGCCACATTGTTCAAGGACAGACTTTCTGAATTTGGTCTACAGATTGCGGAAAGAAAAGACCCGGCGAAAACGAATGTTTGGAATCGCAAAACTGACTAATAAACTATCTATCTTCCATACCGCAGTTATGGCACAAATACTTGCCATCAACGCCTTCTTTCTTCATATCGCTTCTGACACCTGTTCCTCAATACATCCGTAATGTGGTCTCCAGACTTGACGAATGTCTACAATGTGCACACATTAACCTGAAATTCAATAAGCAATGTTAAAAACGTGGCCACTGCCGCATTAGCTATGACGTTGCGCACTGCCAGAGCTAATTGCGGAGCCCGTGCTGTATGTACGGTGATGTTTTGACCCTGAAATAAGTTGCTGCTCTGAACACATGCTGATACTTTTAACTAGTGCGAAAAGTTTTTCTTGTGCTCCTATGGCTCATGTCACTACACTTCAAACCATGGCTATAAACTACCACATTACTTCGGCAGAAGGCTCTTCTTAACATCTTCGCCATGGTTCCGAAATGGTTCAATAGTACCAGCTTCACATCTTAGATTGTCTGCTCACCGTTTCTTGCTAGTTTAAATACGGCAGGAATGAACACTTGAGCACAAGGTGAACGTTAATGTGAGCATTCTGCGTTGGCTTCACCTTTCTCACCAATGTATATTCATCATAACAATTTATCCTGGACTAGCCGGTGTCTCGTTCATTTATATAACAAGAGTACCACCCATCCACTCCTTCATGTTATACTTATAAAGGTATGCATATTGCTTGCGTCGCACTACTGGATAGGATCGGCCTCAATTGGCAAATGTCACATCATTCAAAGAGGTAGACGGGCGAGTCCACACACATCTGCAGCGCCACAATTAAATTTCTAACATTCAAAGACATAAACTCGACCCAGCTGTGAAGGCATCCTATGTAGAGGAGCGTTGACCTCTGTTTATATCCAGCCCTGAGAGTGCACAAATCGTTCTTCTTCCGTTTATTTCAGTATTACGCCATTTTTAATACGTTATCTTCTTCCGCCCTTCCTTAGACAAAGCCAGAGGTGCCGCTTTTTTACTTCAAAATGCATCTCTGCTCCCTAAGTGACACGCAGCATTTCCTTCTGTGCCGGTAGCAATCCGCTGAAAACTAGCATTGAAGCTTTCCTCTGTAAATCTCTCATTTTCTTCACACAACACCTAAGAGAGTTGGCTGTTGTTCTACTTGAGCGAATACCTTGCGGTCCATATCACCTGTTGGCTAAAGTACTGGCAAACACTGATTTGAGTGCCCCAGCCTTAATGCTTCTTATGCGAGAACGCTATCCCAGATATAATGTTGCAAAGTTGACAACTCGGCCTTGATTGCGCCATGATGACTTTATTATTGGTGCTATTATCGCTTAGACAACCACAAACCAGACGTGCGCAGGAGATACAGCTTCTTGTTGTGTCTCTTTGCCCTGTGTTGTTTGCGCTACATGAGCCATCATGAAAAATCGAATGATGTGAAAGTTCGGGGAGTAACTAAATATTTTTATTTTTCATGTGGCCATGTTCACTCGCTTCATACACAACTTCTCAGCTAAAAGCATCTGCCGCGTTTAAATGCACAAACACCAGCTTGCTTATAGGAGTTCCCAATTCTCACAGCGTCGTCAAAAGGCCACCGTCGTTCTCTCGAAATGTCATTTACGACGCTCGCGAACAATTCAGTTTAACCTTTTATACTAAACGCGATGCGACATTTCCGCAAAAGCTGAATGTTGAGGCTACGCTGACGTCAACCACTCTCACTGAGATTTTTCAGTGGTTTTGCGTGCGAGATCGTTGCAGGAATAACCGGCTGCGAACACTTTCGCGTTTGTGCTTGTGCGCGTATTTATATTCTCAACACGAAACTGGTAATTTGACGCCGCTCCAGAATCATGTTACTGGAAAGCCCTCTTTTTCTGTGATCAAGTGAATTTCAAATAATGTAAGTGTTCACAACTTTGATTTTAGCACACCTTGAGGGTCACTGCCAAGAATGCACTGCAAAAAATAACTGAAGCTTTTATAATCACGCCTTTCGTCTAAGATTTATCCTTTTATATCAATCCTATGTTTAGGCAATATTTTCATCAAAATATTGATGAAGGAAGTTTCAGAGGTAATAAGGACACGTCCGACGGCTGCTCCAGGCCCTGATGAAGTCGCTTAAGCATTGTTAATAATTTTATTCCAAGAGTCACGGCAGGATTTACTTATTACAATAAATTATTTGATAACAGATGCTTGGATTGCTCCTGAAGTAAACATCACGAAAACCATACCTGTTCAAAAAAAACCGGGCTATGTTTTTGATAATATGAGACCAATTGCATTCATGTTCGATTTTGTCAAGATAAAAGAAAAACTATTGCACGCTCGCATAATTAAATTTGTCGGCGGAGAAATGATTCTTCTACTATGTCAAATTGCATTTAGGAGAGATGTCCCATATTAGATGTACATATTGACCTCTAAAATCGTATAAATCTGGCGCGGCGTCAAGGGTGATATGCAGCTCTAGTTACTCTGGACACCACAAATGCGCATGACAGTATCGAATGTAGTGTACTAGCCCCTCGTCTGAGAGAAATCACTTCCCCGCATCATTTACAAGCGAAAATTACGGAACCTTCAGGTAATAGGAAATTTTATTGTTCGCAAAGCGGGGTTTTATCAAGTATTTATAAACAGAAAAAATGAGTTCCCCAAGGTGCCTGTGTTCTGTAGCCGGTACTATTCAATATTCTGTTAAGCTCAATCTCATGATGAGAATGTTCGCCCGTATGTCTATGCTAATGATATTCCCTCCTTTTCGTCAGCTAATTACATTCACCCTTCCTATCAAAATTTGCATATCTGGTTTTCTGACATAGAACACTGGCTTGACGTTCTTCATCTCTCTCTAAACCTGAACAAGTGCGCATTATTAGTTTTTCATACCAAATACGCTGTAAATATATCTCTCGCATACAAAACTGATATCATTCCCCTATTTCAAAGCATGAAATGGCTAGGAGTGATACATGACAACTCTCTTTTACGGCGAAACCGTATGGAATGTATTGCAGCAAGGGCCGTTCGGGCAGTTAACTTATTACGGAGGATAAGCAACAGATCATGAATGCGCCGAGCTACGTTATTATCAATACACCGCATGTATGTTTAACCGGTTCTAGAATTTGGATGTGTTTTATCTTCCGGGGCACTTGCCTATAAGCTGCGCCATCTTGTTCTTCTGGAGAAGCAGGCACTGCGCATGTACTTAGGACTACCTAAATCTGTAGCGAATAATGCTTTATATATGAGAGCTTGAATCCCCTCACTCGTCACCAGATTTAAAATATTAGCTGCGCAAACATATTAGGAAGTAGTTGAATCTCTTTAAAGGCGTAAAAAACAGTTTTTATTGCGCAATCTTACTTATTCTTTATTGTCACTGGCATGGATTTCGCACACCTAAAGGAAAGTTTATACAATCTCTAATCGATCGACTGTCCACGAAAATTAGGGAGGTTATTGCGATTTGTAACTCAACAAATTATCTTCAAATATACTTTTATGACATCTTGTCTAACAGCGCTAACAAATTATCTTCAAATATACTTTTATGACATCTTGTCTGATAGTGCTAACAAATTATCTTCAAATATAGGTTTATGACATCTTATCTAACAGTGCTAAACACCTACCAAATAATACGTTAAGAACTACATTACAAAACTACCTGCAGAGAATACAAGCGAATGTCATCATTCCGACAAACGCTTCACAGAGAGATAAAAAGAGTGGTATCGGTTTATTCTGCCCTGTTCTCGGCTGGTCCTTGTGCCTCCGAATTCCAGATTTTACACCCATATTTATCGCAGAAGGTTTAGGTGTAGTATTAGCCCTTCGAAAACTGACATTAATAAATTACGCCGTAATAATAAAGGACACTTTATTGATCTGCAGTGCACTCACAGAATGCGGTGATATGAAAGCAATAAACGAATTCAATTTTATAGTACCTAATCACTTAACGAAGATACGTTTAATATGGGTGCCTGGGCAAAGAGGCATAACTCTAAATGAAACAACTGATGCACTAGCGAAAGTAGCGTTGGATATACTGCAGCTAGCAATATAACCTCCACAACTTCTTTCACAGTAGGGGCTATATTTTGGAGGCAAATGATGATTCAAGAATCCTCGACATCATATATAATAACGCATAATCTAACAAAAAGCCCTGTTTTAGGCACACCAGCATGTGTCGTCTCAAGAATCAACATATTTGCACAGCGCAAGACTACGAGTAGTTACGACGTAACTATAGTAGAAGAGACAAGGACAGAAAGAACGCTGACTTCAACTGAAATTTTGTTAGCGAAAACGCTTGAAATATATACTCGCGACAGAACATCACCGCGCAATGGCGCAACCTATTGCATCACAGCAACACAAGCATCGTCTCATTATATGGTTACAACGCCACAGCTCAGCAAAAATTCACGATGTATTGTGTCAAAGCCAGAAACTCGATTTCTTTTTTAGTCAGAGCAAGCGAAAGCATGCTGATACATCGATAACCCAGCATTTGCATTTCATTGGCCTCCATAATCTCTCGTGTTAGCTGCTGACGGTGTTTGGCTACAACAGTGCACTTTTCTAATTCCCGTCTACAATAGATGCCTAAATGACCTTGCACAGCTGAGTATACATTGTAATGATGCTCCTTTAAACGCTCATTCAGGCACCGGCCCGTTCGCCCAACATACATCTTGCCGCGTGACAACGGGAGCAAATAAACGACGGCTATCACACATGCTACGAATAGCCTTCTATGTGTGATTGTGCAGCAGCTCCTTCGTGCGGACTGCGCATTCACCCGTTCGCAGAGCGCTGAAAGCTTTTCTGGGGCAGAGAAAACCACCTTCACGTCTACTTTATCACCTATCTTTTTCAAATTGTGAGAAATCCTAAGTAGATAGAGAATCACAGCCACGCGCTGTAGGCTACTAGCCACGTAGTTCACTGGTGCTTCTCGTCCCTGTTTAATTGTCCTAAGCAACTTTTCCTCCATCGAAACCAGCTCATGATCGGGGAAACCAGCGCTGATCAGACGGGAAGCCCGATCATGTGCTGGTGCCTTGTTTTTGTGTTTATGTGCAATGTTTATTGTTGTGGTCACTTTATATTTGTCATGACTAATGAAAAGCGCTGGCTATATGTCTTTTTTTTTTTTTGCAGCGCGGACCAAGCAATACTATGGCCGATGTCCGCCTTTCGCAGCTATTAGTCACATTGTGCATTCTAGGAGTGTTAAGCTGCCTTTTTGTAACCCGCCTGGGGTACGTGCACGTGAAAGTCAACTGGCCTGAGTTCCGTGACGTGGCAGAAAAAAAAGTTCAGGAATCTGCTGCCTTCAGTAATGTGGCGCTGGTAAGGCCTCCACCCAGGTGAGTACCGGTAACCGCTGCTCAAACAGCGGCAATCTGAGTTATAATTTAGTGACGAGTTGTCTTCCTTCGCATACGTTTAAAGAATCTCAGCAGATACCATACAGATTTTGCTTAATTCAACTGCTTCAGAACACTTGTATTGAAATCTACAGACGCATAGACGAATAGTCGTGAAAAAAAATTGAACACAAAATTACAATGGATCACACCTGTCCTGACAGAGACAAGCCATTTTCAGAAAACACAAACTCACGAATGCACTTTAGTTCCGGGTCTTATATCACTGTCTTGCATCAGTTCAAGATTTTATCATCGTCGATGTTCCAGATCGCGCAGTTGTTATTTCCCTCCTTCTCATATTTCGGACGCAAGTGTGGTAGAAAAGGTTTATTGGCCGGTTTAGTTGGTCTATTGGCCATTCCTATCTGCAAAAAATGCTATCTAGAAACCTGAAAGGAGGCGTTCTGAACTCGTGAGACAGTTGCAAATAAGGGCAGCAGCTGACGCCCACGTCATTCAACCGAAAAATGTACCATAGAGTTCATACCATCTGCTTCCTCCACCTAACATTGATATTTAGGGGCCCATGGGCCAGACAAACATGGCTCCTCGTAACTTTAAAGGGTAACAGCCTGGGCTAGTTGCTATGTCGAATGAAGTCATGTGAGCCCCGCCGCGGTGGTCTAGTGGCTAAAGGTACTCGGCTGCTGAACCGCAGGTCGCGGGTTCGAATCCCGGCTGCGGCGGCTAAATTTCCGATGGGGCGGAAATGTTGTAGGCCCGTGTACTCAGATTTGGGTGCACGTTAAAGAACCCCAGGTGGTCTAAATTTCCGGAGCCCTCCACTACAGGCGTCTCTCATAATGATATCGTGGTTTTGGGACGTTAAACCCCACACATCAATCAATGAAGTCATGTGAACTGAAGATGAAGGCAGTACACAGTGTCACTATTACCCGGCACGAGGCAGGGATTACTCTGAGTAATTCTACACGCAAGATAGACGCAAAGGTGCTAGCTACTAATCAGTGGTAGGGGAACCAACGTTTTCTCCACAAATAAGATTACTAAGCAAGGAAGGTCATGAAGCAACCGTGAAAACAAAACATCTTCGTTGTAATTCGTTCCAAGGAGACTGCAAAAGTACGACATGACGGTAATAACGGGTGTTTTAGGCTAGGCTTTAGAGCTTTGTAGAACTTCGAGTTCGTAAAACCTGATATCTGGTAGTCCTTGACGCCGATATCCTACCAAAAAACAATCCTCTGCCAAGAGCTTGATTATGTGCTAAACGTTTTCTTCAGAGAATAGCTGCGTCAATGACAATGCGGAACACATAATTCTACAAGCCAGCAGACCTGTGGGGATGTGCACCTACGAATGAGATCTTTTTGTTTAAATTCGGCCCCATCTGTTAGTTGGTGACACAAAGATGGGGAAGTCCCCTATATACGAGAAATTGGTTAATAACGGTGGTATTCGTTTCAACTAGTCTCATAGTGAATTTTAGCAAAGAGAAGTTATCAAGAACTATTCAAAATGACATCTGTGTTACGTGTGCAGTCGCTTCAGGAGACTTGAGGTGGCCATGCTTAAGGTGGCGGAAAGCATTGGTAGAGCATGACAGTGGTGGCGTGACTACGTTATGGCAACGGTGTTAAAGCTGACTCATACCAAGCGTGCTATATAAATTGGCGCAAGGAGACAGCAGAACGTCCTAGTAGGCTTGTTAGACATTAACGGCATGGTCTATAACTACAAACAAAACAATGAAGTCCTCGAGAATGGTACTGGTGGGCAAGACATGTAATCCCATAAAGCCCTATTTTAAATACCTGCTGCACTTGGCATCTAAGGATACCAAATATAGTAAACATTCTTTCATCGGCCACGCAGAAGTTTTCTCACAATGGAGCTATGCCAATTTTATCTCAGTATATTGTGAACTGTCACGTGGTATCGTCTGATTTTCCCACCCTCTTGTTTGTCCACGAATTTTTGCTCAAATAGCCTTCACGAAATTTGGCACTATCTGCAAATAGGGTACTCAGGGGAAGCTGCAGCCAATTCCAGAGAAAAAAAAAGGTTACGTCACTAACATGCCTTTTAGTTAGCCCAAATAACGGACAGCGCATTCATCTAATTTGCCGTGTTTTGCTGAAATAATTGTCGCCCACTTTGCCTCGTGTATCTTGAGTGTTCAATTCTCATATAAATTGCAAGACTTATGCAATGAACATCTTTAAGCGAAACGTGCATTGTCCCAAGGAGGTACCGCCGCAGCGTCTGTCAATTTCACTACGACTGGTAATAGGTAGACCGGGGAAATCTCGTGCGCAGTATCTTAAACATGGCGCGCTGTTTGTTAACAACCACGTTGGACTATGCTACATTACGGGTTACATGAGTCACAAGCAATACGAAGCGTTCCCTTCTTTCTCTGTTGTCTCGTATCTCGTTCTTTCACTCGGTATCATTATGTATGATTACCCCCAACCTTGTCAAGCTGCATTGCGAGACTTGTTAGGTTATGTAAATGTACGCATCGCTTTCACATACCTTACCCATTTCATTTAGACGATAACCTTACGTTTCTCCAACTCCACTTCTTCACAGTGAGAAAATGACGCTGGTGTACGTTATATGCGAGAACCATTTTGATCTGGGCCTCGTGGCTGTCAAGTCAGCCGTAGCCTACTCCACGACCAGACTGCACCTTATCGTCATAGCAGATGATTATAACAAGGACAAGATGCGAAACGAGGTAAGCGTGTACAGATGTCCGACCAATTCTTCTACACACGTGAGCTTTTACCGGGAGTTTTCTATATAATGTATACCGAACGATGTCCAGGAATTTCGCGGTAGCGTTTTCAGTAAATCAGCGATTGTAAGGCGCTCTTTTCGCTCATTTGTGCCGTTCTGTTTCCTCGCTCAGCTTCATCGATTCACGACGGCTAACTGTTGTACTCCCGACAAGGCCTCAGGTAGGCTTAGACTTCCTTGTAATACAAGAGCATCAATCACGTCAGGCATGCGAAACATATTCAGGAAGCAGAACACTGGCACACAGTACAATCTTTTTTCCCAACTACATTGGCATGTCGATGATTCGATTCGCCCCACACTGAAGTAGCCGAGTCGAGTGATAAAACAACATGTAAATGATCAGCGAACTTCATTGGTTAAGTTACACAACACAAACTATTTATGGTAAAATGAAGCTGTATACTTGTTTCCCGTTGCAGCCTTTCTGTCGGTATTTATTTTTAAGTAGGGTGCTTGAGTATATACATTATGAAATACCTATTTAGACGTAAGACAAAGTTGTCTTACGTCTGAATGGGTACTTCATAATTCTAGTTCTGGAATTTAAGGCAGAAGTTTTCGAGCACTTTCTTTCGCCGTAGCCGTGCCCTGAGGAACAGTTTAACGTGAACAGATGCTTATGTTACAGGTGTTCTTTGAAACGTTCACAACCGCTCTGGAGTAGCAAGCGCACGCACCTACACCCTACATGCAACATGACTGAGGATGGCTAGTGACTTCAGTCTTACGTCCAATAAATAAAGCGCAAAGTAGGCTTCAGTAATGCGCCAAGAAACGAATGAGAAAGGAATCAGTGAAGAAGCTGCGTCACGTCTACATGGTGGGCGGCCTGTGCTCCGGCCCTTTATCCTAGGCTAGCGAGCGTACGAGCGGGAGGGGACGCTTGTGGATCCTAGCCGAAGACGCGCAACAGAGTTTCCGCTGGCAGTAAAGTTCGCCTCGCGAACAACGTAATGACCGCATTACAGTTGAATTTTTCCCGACATTACCACACCCACTAAGTTCGAAACATATAGAAAATTCAGCGTGCAGCAAATGGCAACAAACAGCTCCAGTTTGTTAAAAAAGGTTTGCGATCAATAGAGGTCAGGACATGTTCGAAATTGCCAACTGGTTGCTCCTGACAACAAGATGGATTGAGAGAAGGCTGCATGCTTCTGTGAGTTAATGTCTTTGTCACCCGTACTGGCAACGTTGCAATTGGCCATCGGCACAAGTTGCGGAACCTTGGAGTGGCAGATGTTTCTTTTCTACGTTGAAGGCGTTGTCCACTATATACCGCTTCGAAGATTATCTATAGCTGCGTGGGACAGTATATATCACGCGTCGTCTGGCCAAAAGGGGGGGAAAACGCCACTTAGTCTATTGCGCCGCTGTTTCGTCTAGTTATTGTATACGAAATAGTTAGCCCCTAGCCTCGTTTTTTATTGCTTTCCATTTTTTGTTATTACATTCATTGCTTCCCTCAAGAAATTTTTCATCAAAAAAAGTAAGGCGTGCACACAGGAGGGTCGCACCGTCAGAGATAGATAAAAGATGAAGAAAGGTGATAACGATAGAAATATGATCTGTGGCTTTACGCACCAATACCATTATATGATTATAAGATACGCAGTAGTGGAGAGCTATGGAAATTTCGACCATTTGACCTTTCATTGTTGTGCGCTTAAGGGGACGCTTGGAGAGCTGGAGCGCTGAGAATGGTGGTATGTATGTGTCTGCGTGGTTTGTGTTGTCTGGTGTTGAGTTAGGATTTGGCTTGAGAGCGGATATCACTGCGCTAATAAAGCTTCGTTAAAACAAAACTTTAACTAGGGGATAAGAGTAATATATTCTAAAATTAAGGTCCACTCACTTTGGCGGCATAACAAAACGGTGAAAGAAAGAAAAGAGACGACATAAAATGGTGGAAGGAACACTGCCTTTGTCATCTGCCTGCAACATTTAGCGGCTGTTGGTTACTTTTTACGCTTCGTAAAATTGTAAATCGACGCAGAAGTTTTGAGCGTTAACTAGAACACATTTCTCTGCACTGGAAAAGCATAATTGCTTATTACGTGCTCTTTTAGTAACAAACCAACCATTTTAACGCGAAGCCAGACGTGTTTTCGAGGTGCACAAATCCGAGTCAAGATCGAAGCTCACATATCGCGGCATTAGCTTGTACCCAGCAGATTACCAGCCCTATATTTCTTTCTATGGGTAATTTTGAGAGAAGCTCTATGAAGAAAGGAGCACACAAGAAATAGAGAGATGGTGTGATAAACATAGGAATGAGAGAGAGCTTGAGAGAAACAGAGCTAGAAGAGACAAATAAAACAGCAGCGAAACAGAGTAAAAAATGACAAATATAGGAATGAAAAAGAGCTATGAGAAACAGGGTTAAGAAAGGAGAAAAGAAACGGCAGCGAAATAAAGCAAAAAAATAGTTCAACAAAAACCAAACTAAACAGAATCAAGGAATACCAGGCATACAGAGAAATTATAAAAACATAAAAGAGGTTGGCGAGCGAGTGAGGATGCGACCGGTTTTCGCTGTGCGAAGGTTTCTTCGACATAGGGGTAACTTCCGGCATTTTCGAACTGAAGTTTTCGGGTTCGTTTTTTTTATTGAAATTGAAAATAAACGAAGCAGTGTTTGTCACCGTTACTTGGCAACGGCTACCCCTTTCCACTTAATTGGTACAAATAAAAATATGAAAAAAAACAATGGCACATATACATATATACAGTCCTACATGGGTGAGAGCAAAAGTTCTCCTATATGGGCAGAACAAACGCGTAGAAGACAGGCTCACTTTTAACTTTTGTCCGCTCAGTAGTCGTCACAAATCTTCGTTTCTACGAAGAAGTGTTGCAGCACCTTCATTGCTTTGCCGTTTGTTTTGGATGGCCATGAACCTAGTATTTTATTCAACCCGAATGGTTTCGGTTTCGTCCTGTCGTTCAAGTACCTGACCCTGTACAGAGGCGATGCCAACACATTTGGTAGACATTCTGATCCCTTAGTTACAATGCAAGAAACGTGCTCAAGGGTATATCCAGTCCCCCACCCCTTTTTCGCTACTATGTCTCATTGCATCTAAGTATGCTCTGGATGTGTTAAGACGGCGTATTTAGACACATAACTAAATCTTTCAGTCGAGTGACGATTGAAAGAGTTAAAAGAAGTTAGCTGCGCTATCCTCAAGACAAGACAAGGTGAGCGTTCCAGGCAACAGAGGCCCTTTCACTGTTAGCTTTATTCAACCAGTGATGCTGCATTCCCCACTCCCGCCCCTTATCACCTCCCTTTAGTTTGGTCTTTCATTATCGCTGCAAAGTGAAATTTCATTAGAGGAATGGGGCTGTCGGCACTGTAAGATCAATTGCACTCACGTGCCATGGTCGACGGCAGTGGAAGAATTAAGACTTCTGAATACAGTACAATGAGTATGTATGTCTTGACTTTTCATGGTCTCTTTGTTTTTCCTCCACATACCAATCCCGTTGTTCCGCCAGTACGCCTCTTGGCCAGATCACGTCAAGATGCGTGTCAGCTGCGATGTGGTGTCTGTGTGGTTCCCCAAGAAGAATTATTACCATTGGTGGGCCATGTTCAGGCCTTGTGCAACGCAGAGGCTCTTTTTATCGGTATGTACGCATGCATTCTTATATTTAATAGAGGCTAGAATCTAGTGCTACCGCATTTCTTGCAGTTTTAAATGATTCGATCATAAGTGCACTAAAATTTTGAACGAAAAGGAAGAGTTACAGTTTGGAGCCCTTCGAGAGGGGAACCACTGGTGATTGTTATAGCGAGAGCTCAGAACGACAACAAAGGGACAAGAGGAAGACGAGCACTTGTCTTCTTCTTGTCCCTTTGTTGTCGTTCTGAGCTAATGCTATCACAATGGTCGGTGGTAGCGCTTGCCTTCTTGTCTCATTGCCGTCGTTCTGAAATCGCGCTATAACATTAGTCATGTCATACCACCCAGCTCAAGCCGCCACGCTTTTAAGAGGACCAATGGCTGCGGTTGCACGCTCTGTGGCCACGGGATTACGTTGTTGTCTCGCTCATTCAGGATTCTGTGCTCATCGGCGCGCATTCCATGTGTACTGTTAATTCTTCCTCTAAGATACCATACGCATCCTTATAGTAGTGATCGAGGCATGTCGCAGTACTTAAATCTAAATTGAAGAGCTTTGCTCTCGTTCTTCGCTACGTAGCAGGAGCAAGATGGGGCCCATCAGAATCATCGCTACTTCAATTGCACAATGCTCTATTCGTGGGATACATTCGATACAACATGCCGGTGCTCTCCAATATGAGACCTAGTTGTGTGAAGACGCTAGAGAGTGTTCAAGCTCAATGCTTACGAAGATGCTTGGGTCTACCGCGCTGTACTTCAACAAATGGAACAATCGCAGAGGCTCGGGCTTGTCCCATCAGCGTATACATGCTCTGCGAGCCACTTAGAGTTCACCTCCGATTGCTGAGCAGACACAGACAGCACCCACTGTCAGTACTACCCGCCAATCACCCAGGTTGCAGTTTCTCGAGAGTAATATCGCGGCATGAAAATATTATACCATCAAGGTTTTCTCCGCCAAATGCCCCTGCAGTGCCTCCATGGGTCCTGCCTGAACCACCTGTTTCCTTTACAATACCTGGAATTACGAAGAAGTCGCTCATTTCTTCTGTTGGCCTCAGACAACTGACCCTATATCACATTTATACAACGTACAGTGATTCTCCGCACGTGTACACCGACGGATCCACTACGCTAAACACCTCCGCCGCAGCCTTTGTCATCCCAGACATGGATATCGCTCGACAATTCAAAGTTGACCCAAAAACCACATCAACTGCCGCAGAGCTTCTCGCTATCCGGGAGGCAATAATATTTATTTCCGGAGAGCGACCTCGAGCCTGGACGATTTTCTGTGATGCCAAACCCGCTTTGCAAACCATTAATTGCATCACGAAGTAAGGTTTGTATTACAGCTTGGCAATAGAAATCACAGAAATTATTCACGTTGCTTCAACAAATAGGTCATCTTATAACTTTCCAGTGGATTCCCGCTCATTGCGGCGTGATGGGAAACGAAGAGGCAGACGCTGAAGCTAAAAATGCCTTAAGCAGTGCCCCTGAAGTACGCACTGCGTTTTCACAAGCTGACACGAACGCCCTGCTTCGCTGCGTCATGCGCAGCTACACACTTCAGCACTGGACCAAACCGGAATGGCGACACCAACGACTTCACAAAGGGACCCGAAAATGAGGTTCCGCATGCCCCCTAAATTGAAACGGCAACTCACAAGTATGATCCACCGCATTCGTCTTGGTGTAGCGTACACCAGACGTTATGCACATATCATCGGTCGCAGTGACACCGGTCCTAATTGTGAACACTGTGATGTGCCAGAAACACTTGAGCACATATATTGTGTCTGCCCAGCATACGCACGCTAACGACAAACACTGATTTCTTCTACTGAACTATATCGCAGTAGGTCATTAACTGATGAGACATTGTTGGGCCTTTGGCCAGACACCAACAGTACAACTGCGGTCACGAGAGCAGTTATAACCTTTTTGGAAACAACTGGACTATGTGCGCGGCTATAAAATGTGTCTCAGCTAGAAAGAACATTACATACTCACCTCTCTATCTCACCATCGTCATTCATTAATGTTTCTTCTCCCCTTTCCCTTCCCCAAGTGTAGAGTAGCAGGCTAGAGCAAGCTATCGCTCTGGCCGACCTCTCTGCCTTTCTGTAAATAAACTTACCTCCTCCTCGACGTTGGAGAAAATGCTAGTGCGTCTGAGTCCAAGTGTGTTCGACTTAGGAAAGCTCTGGTGTGTTAATCCTAGTGAGCCCTATGCGCAAAGCTTATTTCTGGAGTCGGATTGAGCTCCACGTTTTTTTTTCTTGCCGTCTTGTGGCGATAACACTCAGCTTAAGCGTTACTAGCAGCCTTGCGTTGGTTCGTTGTTTATACTTACGTCTACTCTAACAGCGCAATGGCGCTCTGACGCCAGCTCGATATCTATTGGAGAGAGACGAGAGTAACTGGGAGGGGGGAGAAGGCTTAGCTTCCCTCCCTCCGCTAACTCTTTCATGGGAAGTTCTCCATCAAATTAAATTGTCTTCGTCACACGCTTTAATAATATTGTCCGAAAATTTTTATTGAAAAATCAGTGGGATATACCCCAGATAGGTTGTATTTGAAGGTACAATAATAGTCGCGACGTAGAACAGCTGTTTAGCGAGGCGATGGAGTTTCAGTTCAAAGATGCTTAGATCTAAAAGGCTGGACATTTCTTGAGGGGCACATCAGCCGACTCTCTTCAACTCGAATCAAGCCGTGAGTCTGATTGAGTCCGAGTGAGCAATATTTTGGTGAGTATGAGTCTGAGTGAGTTCAGTTTAGGAAAATTTTAGTTGTGTCCGTGTGAGCGCCAAGGACCAAGTATATTTCATAAGTGAGCTCCACGTTTCTTGGTGGCCTGTAATTTTGGCTGTGTTAACTTTGGTCGTTATAATTTTTTTTCCACACTAAGCGTACGCCTGAGTCAAAGTGTCGCTATTGATTTTTTTTGCATGTGGAGTGCTTCCAATTGTGCAGTAATATTTCGTCACTTCTTTTCATTGGCGAAGGTGTTCAGTCCACTTGTTGTGAGAAGTAGCCAAAATGAAATAAGGGCAGAGATGAAACAGGCTAACATGATTGAGACAACCAGTAGTGACGCTGCCAGACCAGCTTTTTCTTGTAGAAAACAATGCTCACCAATGTGTCTACAGCTTGACTGGCTACGTCGATTCTCCAGGACATCTCCTTAATTTCGTTCTTTGGCTTACCATTGTCTTTTCAGGCTATCAATTATTTCTTAAAGAGTGCTTACCAGCGCCAACGACAGGGCAGGAGGGGACAGCAGAAGAGACGAGACAGAGCGCTGAACTGCCAACAATTTATTTCTTGCGAAGGTCTTCGCTTTTATACAGTTACCAGTCGCAATAGTCATGCGCGAAACACAATGACAACGGATAAGCACATCACACTTACAAGCGAAGGAACAACTTTTCCTTATCGGTGAGTGCGACAGAAGGGGTGCTAACAAAGCATCTTTCAATGAGCAATCTTTTCTGCCTCTATGATCTCGCGTGTTGTGCGATCCCTGCATCTAGCAACAATAGTGTACTCTGGAAACACTAGCCGGCAGCCACACTTGGTGCAGTTAACGGACAGCCATCCTTGTTTATAGTGATCCACATTGTACATATGTTCCCTCAGCCAAACAGGTCGTTATACAACGCCCAGTTTGACCAACGTAATACCTTCCACACGATAACAGCAGCTGATACACCACATTACAGATGCAATCTCTGAATTTATTTACATGTTTTGTACAGCAACCGAGGATGGGTCTGGACGGAGGAACAGACAGCTTGCACAGGCGACTCAATTTCTGAGGGGCCGTAAAGACCACCTTCACATTCACTCGCTGTGCCACTTTCTTAAGATTGTGCGCTATTTTGTGTATATACGGAACCATGGCGAAAGCCTGACTAGCTGTGACAAGTGGGACTGCATTATCGGTCCCTTTGGCCTTAAGTTCACGCAGCAGACCTTCGGCAACGGAAACTTGCACGTGGTCCGGGTAACCAGCCGACGTCAGTCTTGAAGATCGCTCAACAAAGCCTTCTGTAATCTTGTGCACACAGAATTTTCGCAAGGCATTCACGAAGCAAGATTTTGTGGTACCTTGCTTTAGAATGCGCGGAATTAAATGGCAAAACAAGCTTATTTCTGCGTGGTTAATACATCCAGCAAGTGCGTCCATTATTCAGGAATAGCTTAAAGTCAAGGAACCTGATTTCACAATTCTCAGAAAGTTCATGAGTAAGCTCAAAATGTTTAAAACCATTTCGCATCAGGTCTAAAACCGTAAGAGCATCAATTTTATACGATGCACCATCAGTGTCCATAAAAATTAAAAAATCATCTACGTATCTGGAAACGTGCGTCACATTCGTGTTAGTAAAAACTTTTGACATGTATCTGTTTTATTTGCCTAAAAATAGGTCACTGACGATGGAAGCGATGCAAGATACAATACTGATACCAGATTTTTGAAGGTGAGGTTTTCCATTTCATAGGACGTACGTCGACTGAAGGTAAAACCTTAAAAGCTCTAAAAACTCACTGACGCTGACGCCAGACTGTGTCTGGAATTTTGAGGCTCCATACTCATCTATATATTGTCCAATGCATTGTAACACTGAGTCATGCGGAATAGAATAGTACAGGTCCTTGACATCTACAAAGAAGGCGAATAGTGTCTTATTCGTACGCGACGAAATAAACTCCTGGACTTCACATGAACTTTTTACCAGAAATGGATCGTTCGCTTCTAGGTATTTCAAGGTTTTCTGCAGATAGAGCGCAATACATTTTTGTCAGGTATTATTTTCAGATACAATTAGCCTAAAAGGCATGTCGACCTTGTGCGTTTTCGCGCTGAAGAATGCTTCAAGGAAATCTTCCTTGGCATCTCACATATTCTTATGGACATTTACAAGGTTTAACTTGCGAAGCAGGCTCTTAGATTTACTTTTGACCTTTTTCGTCGACACTTCAGCATGACAGTTAAACAGGGCCTAAACCATGCGACAAGCTTTTTCTCGGTACTTTTTAAGGCGCATTACGGCAAAGCTGCCCTCCTTGTCATCAGGTAACACACATAATGATTGCTCTTTCATAAAATCTACAACGCGTTTTACCGGAAGAGTCGAAAGGCTCGCCATACACCGACTTAGGACATCTACGCCGTCCGCTAAGCAGCGGTCTTGCTCTTCTGGTGGAGCACACCGAGGGACTTGTCGAACGGTAGCCAAAAGGTCGTGCGGAGAACGCTTAGGCTCCACCGCGAACTCCGGTCCCAACAAAAGCACTTTAGAGACATGCTGGGGCAAGTCCAAGTCTTCTTGATTGTAGATCGGCCACTTCGGCGGTTGCTGTCGCGTGGGCGCTAGGTTGCGGAGCCGAAGGAGCTCAGTCTTCCAGAGGAACTTGCTTGACATATAAATATGCCGGCGAAGTTCTCGCAGATTCTTCGCAGCGTTAACAGGTGTGCTGGAGATCTGTACGAGAGCACATAAGTACTCATTGTAGAGCCGTACTTGTCTCTGCAACTCTGCCCTCAAGATCTTGCATATCCTTGACCCGTGTCATTGTGATGGCGTAAACCCCCCAAACAGGCGACACACTTCTTCTAAAAGCACTTTTTTCTTGATGCAAAATGAAATACCGCGCACTCGGCAAGTGGTAACTGCCTTCTGTTGTGCTCACCGATAAGGAAAAGTTGTTCCTTTGCTTGTCGGTGTGATGTACTTATGCATTGTCATTGTGTTTCGCGCATGACTATTGCGACTGGTAACTGTATAAAAGCGAAGACGTTCGCAAGAAATAAAATGTTGGCAGTTCAGCGCTCTGTCTCGTCTCTTCTCCTGTCCCCTCCTGCCCTGTCGTTTGCGCTGGTAAGCACTCTTTATCATGTTATACCAACACGCCCAATCCTATTGTCTCTTGACAATTATTTGTGTTTGCCATAGCCGATGCGTTGCTGGCTTCCATCTACACATTAGTAGAAAGGCTCCGTAATTGTGGATTATCATGCCGAAGTTTAAAATCATGGCTGAAAACCACACATTTCTGATATATCTCACTTTGGTTCACACGCATCACTGTTTGCAGCAGAGCAGGCCGCCTGATTTGTGATAGTCCAACTGAACAGAGCGAAGTTCTTGTTTGAAGAGCAGTATTCTCACTGTATCAGATGTTTCTCTATATTTACTTTAGTATGCTTTTCAATACCATTATTTTCAGTGTGAGACGAAACGAACCGTTTCCTTGTGCTGAGTGAAATAAACTAGGTAAACACGCTAAACACCAAAGAAAGCAAACTGTACATACACTTCTCATTCCTTGAGCGCTGTTTTGCTTGATTTAGTTATTACATTTGCTTTGTTTTTTTTCTGGTCCAAACTTGGTCTTGGCTTTTATGCGATAAAACAGTGATTATCACAAATTTTCTTCACATCACAGCCCACTTGACTCAACGTGCAGTCGAACAAGAGTGTTATTTAGTAAATCATGTTAAATATACTTGATACTGATACCATTTATTTCATTATAGAGATCTTTCGGGATGGCGATGATGTCCTTCACAAGGACTTTTTTTACAATAGGTGTATACTCTGCAGCGTAGAAGCCAATGACAAGCTGTGAAATTTGGAAACTTTTGCAGGCTTTATTCGTGAGCAGTTGACACTTTCAGCCACAGCCTTTTGCTTCAAGAAAAAGGGGACAAAAACTATTGTGCTTTCGAAATAACAGATTATTTGTCTGCTCGGTGCATACCATTATAGGAATTTAGTAAACAACAAAATTTGCTACGTATTGACGCCTGATTGGCATTTTAGTAAACAAATGTTGACAGGTGATATGTCTTTCTAAGAAGTATCGATTCAACAGACCAGGAACAATTGTTCATGTCCAGTTGTTCCTGACACAAGTGCTTCTATGTGAAAGGTCAATGGTGCTGATTCGGGTTTCGGAAGACTTGTTATTGCTAACTAACTTTGAAAGTTGTTGTGAAGTACAGCTGACGCATGGCCACACGACACAAGCAGCGCATCTTGAGGCGTTTGAAATACACTTTCCTAAATGTAGAACACATTCCATTTCACTGAGGGGAAAAAAAACGCAGACGTTCTCACCATAAGTGTGATATAAACAGTAAAATTTGTGAGTGCTAATCACTAGAGCAAGTGACTTGAGGTCAGTATGATTTCAAAATAAACAAGTTCGTAATCAATGTAAAAAATAGCAATTTAGAATAATATCGTGAATGTCACATGTGTTAGAGTGCGTGAGGATAGAGGCTTACCACAATTGAGGATGCTTAGGGTAGGCCTTTATGAAAGCCATGTGGCATGCATTGTCAGGCCCCGTTCGTATCGTCGTCTTATTCGCTTGTCGTAATTTGGTGAACTTGAATAAATATTTGAACAATCTCACGACAGAAAGAACGCACGCACACGTGACCACGGCGTTTGTGAGATTTACTAATACGCATACTTAAATACGATTGCGAAGTGTCTATGTATTACATTTGTTTAAGGCAATAACTGTTCGGCAATGCCCACTTGTAGATACTATGACTGATCATGTTGAGGATGACTTATAGCCTAACCATTTAAAGTTAGCTGACAGCTTTTACGAAACTTTAGAATGTTAAACACCACATATCACCTGATCAGTCTTTCATGCAACTACTTTTCATACGTATCTATGAACCGACGTCTACTACGAGTATGCGGCTGAGACATCTGTTGATCTAGCTTCTTGCTCGACGCTACAACCATGTAAGAATTTGTTTTTGCAGAGAAGGTTCAAGCTCTTGCATGGTTCTGTGATAAAATACGTGACTGGGGCCCTGGATATCTGAAGTAAACGGCAGTCTGAAGCCTGATTCATATTCTTGCATGCATCGACCCTTTAGGCTCATAGAGAGTGCCAATCTATCGCTGCAACCAACACCCCCTACCGACGTCGTCACCGTATTTCTTTGACACAGGCTCTTGAACGCTACCGCTTCATAACTCCAAGTTTTAGTGAGTTGCATAAACTGTACTTTCATGCTCAATGAGGCATTCGAAAACAATTACGAGAGAAACGCTTGTTTGGATGATGATTATGAAAAACTTGATTACACCTAACGAGCAATGGGTGGAGTCTCTAGTCTGGACCCCCATTGGCTTGCGCCCCATCCCTTGCTCGGGACACTAGGGCCCCTTGGACCCCGCGGTCTGAGCTGGACAGGGCCTCCTCCCACTCATCTCTACCTAAACCCTTGAAAACATCGGTTTAAATGTGTTTCTCTGGCGCTCCCGTGCTATATGATAGAGTGTAGCTAGATTAGTGTTGCATCGCCTACATGTGTGTGATGGGTACTTGTCAAGGTCGATTTTGTAGAATAAGTATTGATTGGGATACAATAGAGTTTGTAAGCGGCGCCGGCTACCTGTGCAGCTTTACTGAGTTGAGATTGCGGTGAGGGTTATATTCTAATGCGGAGCATTTTATAGTTGCACGTTTACTCGCAAATCCGGCCTCGGCGCTGGCGTCGGCAACCCCCCTGGGCATGCTCACGCCTCGCGTCTCGTGCCACATGCTTGCGTCTCGCGCTTACTCTCGCACCTATTGCCAAGTTACTGGCAATAGTGGGCAGAAATCCAAAGCGGCGTTTACATCAGGTGCATTTCATGTCAAGGACCACAGCCACTCGCAGGCGCAGCGATACATATAGTTTGCTAACATTACTTTTGCACTAGACTCGCAATAGGCTCTCGCCCCTTAACCACAAAAAGAGGAAATGGCCGCTTTTGATCATGTGCGCCCAAAGTTTTGGTGCGCAGTGACTTTAACAGGTTTGCCCCATTTCATCCCTGTTCACTTAGCTTTCCGCACCATCGTCGGGATGAGAGAACAGAGCACGCACTTGAAGTGTGTGACTAAAACCTGTAACTCCGCTTGTTCTTGGCGGATTCGAAAAATTCATGAAGCGTGAATTCGAGGGGCAATGAACTCTGATAGTAAGGTCATGTATTGATTAATTTAAAACATGGCAACTCTGTTACACTACGACAATCGTTTCATGCACAGCTATGCTTTTTGGGATTGATAAACACTAATTGAAGAGAAGATTTGTAATTATACATGTGTTAATGCCAAATCTCTTATGCCTGAATATACTTCGTTCAAGATGAACCGGAGAGTGTTGAATACCTCGGCAGACGCATGAGATAAAAACATGGTTAAAGGCTGTGTCACATGCGAAGCATTTTCCGAATTGCTTGTCAAGGCCAGCTGAACACTTGCTTGAAGAGCATCCGTTGAGGAGACTTCGACAAATGGTCGCCTGTCCCCTTATTGCCAGCACACGAAGCTTAATATTATTATTTTTTTGTGAATTCTGGCTCATCACACTAACCATATGTTATCAAAAAGAAAATATTCCAACTTTATGATCGCTTGATAGCGATAGCGCTATAAAATGTATGTTAAATTCCTTTTGAGTCCAACCATACGCATTAATGAAAAATTATGTGCGTACACTTTACGGAAATATTGTGTCCGAAAAATCATTACACCGGATGCGCTAATATCAGCAGTGATTTAAGATTGATATTCGCAGGTCATCAAAATCTGGAGGGTGCGTTTATTTTCAGTTTGACGCTGCTTTCATTGTTTAGTGGTGTAATGAGGTCTCTTGGTGTCACACATTGTCGTATATATCACGTAGTTTTATTAGAAAATGAAACAAGCCAGGCAAATGCACGTTTCATGTACAGTTTTAACTGGTATGCCGTAGTAAACGCTTCATAGCTCTATAAAGTAAACCAGCTTACTTACCAGAAAGTATACTTATCTACCCCCTATCGTGACTTTATCTTCACAGAGTATGTTTCCTAACGAGGATGCCGTCATCTACGTCGACACAGACGTGATATTTGTTCATCCTGTTGAAGACTTCTGGAGAAAATTCTATGCCATGAATGAATGGCAGATGGCTGGCATGGCACCGGAGACAGAGAACTACACAATGAACTACTATACGACAAAGGCACTACATCCATTCGTGCAGCCGTTTGGTAACAACTTTTCCTACGCTTATCAACTTATACACTATCTTTTACACCAAAATGTGCCATCTGCCGCAGTCGTCGCAATACATAGTATGAGTATTAGTTAGTAGCAATAGTAGTAAGTAGTAGTAGTGATAATAGCAGTAAAACTAGTAGTAAGTAGTAATAGTAGTAGTAGTATTAGTAGTAATAGCGATAGTAGTAGTTGTAATGATATTAGTGGCAGTAGTAGTAGTAGTAGTAGAGGCAGTAGTAGTAGTAGTAGTGGTAGTAGTAGTAGTAGTAGTAGTAGTAGTAGTAGTAGTTGTTGTTGTTGTTGTTGTTGTTGTTGTTGTTGTTGTTGTATTACAGTAGTAGCAGCAACAGGCGTCACGCAAATCACTTGGCTAGATGAGGGAGTAAATAAAGAAATAAATAAACAAAATGCTGATGTTGATGATGAACAATAGTTATGATCATGACAATAATGCCCGTGATCACGCTGACAGCTCTCGCAAAATAGCCATCTGAGTGTATTTGCAGGTCATCATAGAACAGCGCACATAGGCGAAAACAAAAGCAGAAGGAGATGACGGCTGTCATAACGAGCAATGGGCTTATTTTTTTCTCGTGCAAGAACGTCACACGTGCTTAGCGCTCCAGTAAAGTTCGTGTATCTTATAAAGTGGCGATGTGCTCCTCCACGTGCGTGTTTTCCTCTGTTGTTTTCGCTCGCCAGCCGTGATCGCTGCACTTTGCTTCTTCACTTGTTTCCGATCGTTAGCTTCTGTGGACAGTTTGAAGCATTCTATGGAGCAATGTGACTTTTGACCACCTGTGAGCACCAGGGAAGTGAAAAAAAGAGAGAGGGGATTGGTAATAGCACCCAGAATGCTGAATGCAACGTTCATGTGGAACTTGTGTTTTTCTTAAGAACATATATGAAGGGGTCCTAATGGTGTAGAGGGAGCTCTGAGGCGGGCTATATGCTGCATACATTGTTCTTGCCACCGTCTTCGCTCAATGTAAAGTCAGAACATTACAACGTGTGTCTTTTTATATTAGTACAATTAACACAGAGAAAACACGTGTAAGCGCTCAGCGCAGGCCAGGGAAAGTCGACAGTGTTAGGTACTTCGTGAAAGTCATTGATATGGTTATGATGAAATAAAATTAGAGAGTACTCAGTTTACTAGCGAAATAAATGAAAGTAGCATTACTCCTGTTTATTACTAAACGTTGGACGTTGATATATAGTGCATGCTTATTAGTCACAGCTATGTAATGTCTGGATGAGAATAAGGAGGGACAAAATAGAAGGCATAAAAAGTTTATATACAAGTAATTGGTACTTCAAATCAGCAATTAATTACAATCATTATATAGTGGACCTAGGGACAACAAAAACTATTGTTATGGGAGGAATTCACTTTTCATTCAGCCAATCTCCTCCAATGGGTGAGTGCCATATGTGTAGGACAAGAAGAAGAAAGCAGGGTTTTTAACCAGGAACATGCCGGTTTGGCTTCACTACGCTGCTGTAATGAGAAAGGGCAATATATGGTGAGATGAGAGAGAACGAAAAAAGACAAAAAATAGTTAGTAAATGGCCTGACACGTATGCATCGGTGGCACTATAAAAAAGCCAAAGCTGTTCACATAAGTTCATAGCCCTCAGTAAGGGAAAGATGGCTATGACAGCCTTGTGAGCTGACGAAAGACAAAGACGGCGCTTTAGCAGCATCTGCATAGATAGTCGCTCATCGTTCAGTCCCTGCAACGCGTGAGAATATTTTAGTCTCAGACGCAAATTGAAGGCAATGGCATGGCAGATGACCGATGCCTTCTTCGGTGCCGCATACCTCGCATACCGTACTGTCGGTCACTGCAATTAGAGTTCTACATGTCTTCGGGGGAGCAACAGCGTGCATAAAAGACCTTGTGAGCTATTCGAACGTCGAACAGCTCAAGTTTATATACGCTAATAAGTCTGATTTCGCAATAAAGCAGCTAATAGCGCACGATGTTGTGCGGTTGCAACCCCGACCGTGGCTGTCACATTTCCATGGAGGTGATATGCTAGATGTCGAGTGTTGTGCAATGTCAGGGCGCCTCAAAAACCGCAGATGGTCAAAATTTTTACAGCTTTTCACTACGGCATGGCTCATAATCGTACGATGGTTTAGTGGAGCGAAACGTCACATAATACAATTATTGACTCATCGGCATGTTAGCCTCAGCAGCTGGCTGTCTTAGCTACGTATGTAAAAGGAAACTCAGAGGCACGCTGCCGAAAGTGACGTTATCAGATACTAGCCGTCAATTTGAGTTCGGAAGTGATTCACTTTCCTTTCGTTTCTGTTTCCTTGTGCAGCGTTGAATGCTGGGTTGCTGATGATGAACCTCACACGAATGCGGGCCTTCGACCTGGAGAACCGCGTGATGCGACTAAAGCAAGAGTTCCATGGTCGAATTCCGTTTGCGGACCAGGACTTGCTGAACATCGTTTTCACCCGCTATCCGCAAGGGATATTTACCTTCACGTGCCGCTGGAACTACCGCGGAGAACACTGTTACGGCGATGCCCTGTGCACTGACGGCCCAATAGCGGTGGTGCATGCCTCGCGCAAGTTGGTTCTAGACCGCCTGGAGCCGGCGTTTGTCACTCTTCATGAAACTATGCGGAATGTAAGTGTACTATAAGCGATAAGGTCACTAACATTCAACGTTTTTCCTCACTTGTTTATTGTTCAAATTGCCTATTCACTGAGTAATCGTTGTACTTTAATATTGTCACGAACAAAACAAGACCTGCAGCCAGGAGTTCACTTGAACCAGAGCAACGAAGATGTTCTCTTCCTCTTCGTGCCCAAAAACGCGTATGAGCCACAGTGGCTCGTTCATCAATGGTGGCATTACCCCCTCTCCCAAGAAGCATCGTCTCGATGCTGTACATGAAGGCAAAAAAAAGAAAAGAAAATTAGATGAAAATTAGCATGCGAGCAAAATGAATGGCGTAAGGCGGAATAACGTAGTTGGCTGTGGGGACAAAAGTTAAATCAGAAATAAGAAAAATAGGAAAAATGTAAGGAAAAGACGAGACAAAAAGAAAGACGCGAAGTTACCAATAAAGTCAGTCACTCACTGGCGATTCACAGCGCGAAAAGTATGGTTTGAGACGTGAAACGTGAATGACTTCAGTTTGCGGGGTGAAACGGGAACGTCTCGAATTGCCTTGTGGTAGAACCTCGTAAGTGACGTCGCTGAGACGTCGCACAACCTTGTAAGGGCCAAAGTAGCGGCGAAGAAGCTTTTCGGAACGTCCACGCTGTCGGATAGGGGTCCACACCCAGACTTCATCACCTGGCTTAAAAATAACTTCACGGTGGCGAAGATTGTAGCGGCGTGCGTCTGCGGTTTGGTGACGTTGAATACGGTGACGAGCAAGTTGACGGGCCTCTTCTGCGCACTGCGCGAATTTGGCGGCATCCGTGTGGTATATTCCTAAGTTGTCGGGCAGGAGCATGGCGTCGAGCATCGTCGTGACGTCGCGACCGTGGACTAAGCGAAAAGGTGTGAAACCGGTACTTTCTTGAACAGCAGTGTTATACGCAAAAGTTACGTAGGGAAGTATGGTGTCCCAGTTCTTGTGATCGATGTCCACGTACATTGACAGCATATCTGCAATTGTCTTATTGAGTCGTTCAGTCAGCCCATTTGTTTGCGGGTGGTAAGCCGTTGTTTTACGATGTTCCGTGCCACTTAATTGCAAGACTTCCTGCAGCATCTCTGCGGTGAAAGCTGTCCCACGATCAGTTATGACGACAGCTGGAGCACCGTGACGTAAGATGATGCTGTTAACAAAAAATTGGGCGACATCTGCTGCGGTGGCTTTTGGAAGTGCCTTGGTTTCACAGTAGCGTGTTAAGTAGTCTGTAGCGACGACAATCCACCAGTTTCCAGACGAAGACGTGGGGAATGACCCCAGCAAGTCCATGCCAATCTGATGAAAGGGCGCCTTTGGTGGGCGAATTGGGCGGCAGTAGTCCCGCTGGTCGTAAAGGTGGAATCTTACGTCGCTGACAGTCGCGACATGTGCGAACGTAGTGCTTCACAGTCTTCGCGAGACGTGGCCAGTAGTAGGAGTGTTGAATCCGTTGCAGCGTGCGCGTATAGCCGAGGTGTCCGGATGATGGCTCATCGTGACACGCACATAAAATTTCACCACGAAGCGTAGATGGCACAACAAGCAGATACATAGCTTGTGTAGAATGAAAGTTCTTTTTATCAAGCACTCTATCACGGAAACAAAAGGAAGATAGTGAGCGCGCAAAGCTTCGAAAAAGGTGGGAATTGCGTCCTTCCAGGTAGTCAATAAGCGGGATGAGCTCCGAGTCGTGACGCTGTTGCTCAGCTAAGCTGGTCGCTGATACGGCAGAAAGGAAAGTGTCGTCGTCTTCAAGGTCAGTGTTGGCATTTTCGACCGGTGCACGTGAGAGACAGTCGGCGTCGGTGTGTTTCCGCCCAGATTTGTGGACGATGGTGACATCGAAATCTTGTAGCCGAAGGCTCCATCGTGCTAGACGACCTGAGGGATCTTTGAGATTCGCGAGCCAACAAAGGGAATGGTGGTGGCTATCTACCCTGAATGGGCGGCCATACAAGTATGGGCGGAACTTTGTTATGGCCCAGACAACAACGAGGCATTCCTTTTAGGTTGCAGAATAGTTTTTCTCCGCTGGGGATAACGTCCTGCTCGCATAAGCGATCACGCGCTCTACGCCATTTTGCCACTGAACTAATACCGCTCCTAGTCCAACGTTGCTGGCGTCAGTGTGTAATTCCGTGCCAGCGCTTTCGTCAAAATTACCTAGTACAGGCGGAGCCTGGAGGAGGTTTCGGAGGGTGTCGAACGCATGGCACTGATCGGGACCCCAAACAAACGAAACACCGTCTTTTGTAAGCTTGTTGAGGGGTTCAGCAATCTTCGAGAAGTTTTTGACAAAGCGCCTGTAATACGCACAGAGCCCCAGAAATCGGCGTAGGTCGCGCTTATTTGTGGGCACGGGAAAGATGGCAACGGCGCGGGTTTTCTCGGGATCTGGGCGGATGCCAGCATGGCTCACAACGTGACCAAGGAACTTCAGTTCTTCATATCCAAAATGACATTTGTCGGGTTTGAGAGACAACCCCGCTGTTCGAATTGCCTGAAGAACTGCATGAAGGCGTTGGACGTGTCGTTCAAACGTGTCTGCAAAGACCACGACGTCATCAAGGTAAACAAGACATGATTGCCATTTGAGCCCTGTGAGAACCGTATCCATCATTCTTTGAAAAGTAGCTGGCGCTGAGCATAGACCGAAAGACAACACTTTAAACTCGTACAGACCGTCGGGAGTAATAAACGCCGTCTTTTCGCGGTTGCGCTCGTCCACTGCGATTTGCCAGTAGCCGCTACGCAAATCCATGGAGGAAAAATATTTAGCGTTGCGTATACGATCCAACGAGTCATCTATCCGGGGTAGAGGATAAACGTCCTTTTTGGTGACCTTGTTTAGTTTACGGTAATGAACGCAAAAACGCAACGTACCATCCTTCTTCTTTACTAGCGCAACTGGTGAAGCCCAGGGACTGGTCGATGGCTGAATGACGTCGTCCTGAAGCATCTGCTGGACTTGGTCACGTATAGCATATTGCTCTTTTTGCGACACCCTATAGGAATGTTGTCGGATGGGTCTCTCAGTAGGTTCCGTGATGATACGATGTTGAGCAAGTGGTGTCTGTTTAACCTTTGACGTAGTGGCAAAGCAGTCTTGAAATGAGCCGAGTATACGCAAAAGGCTTTCTCGTTGAGCCGAAGGTAGTCTCTCATTTACGTCGAGAGTGCTCACGAAGGCCTCGTCAGGGTGGCCATTCGATGAAAATGAAGCTAACGTAGATGAACCATCGGCATCGGCGAGTTCTTCACAATATGCAATGGCAGTGTGTCTCGTTAGGTGGCGATATTCGTCGCTGAAGTTCGTGACCAGCAGGTGAGCATGCCTATTGCTAGGCTGAATGATTCCTCGGGCAACACAGATTTGTTGTGAAATAAGGAGAGACAAATTGGCCTCTGCAATTACCGCGGCAGACAGGTCCTGTCCCAATTCTACTTTGACAAAGAGGCTGCTTCGAGGTGGGAGAGTCAGAGAATCGTCGGTAACACGGAGCGCTCTTTTCCGGAATTGCGTACTGGCAGTTGCAGCGCAAAAAGGATCCTCGAACGACACAAGTAATTCACGGAGGTCGATGACGGCGCCGTATTCACGAAGGAAGTCCATTCCTAGAATGACTGGCCGAGAGCACACGCGCAATACGAGGAAAGAGCCCGCAAATGTTGACGTACGAATTCGAATGCGTGCCGTGCACATACCAGTAGGCGTTACCAGATGGCCACCTGCCGTGCGCAACTGAGGTCCTTGCCAAGGCGTGGTAACCTTCCTCAGTTCAGATGCCAGTGTTGCGCTCATTACGGAATAGTCGGCACCGGTGTCGACGAGGGCGTTAACAGCATGATTGTCGACGAAGACGGCAATTTCGGCAGAAACAATCTTTTTGCTGTCGGAGAACACTGCAAAACCGGAATCGCCCTCGTCTGGTGGTTGCGTCGAAGGAGGGTCTTTTACAGTTCGCCGGGCCGCGACTTCACCCCCAGAAGTCGCCGTTCCTAGTTTCCCCTGCGGGGACTTGGTGACCGGCTCCTGAAAAGAGCGGAAGACGATGAGGGCAAACTGGGTGACGTAGACCGGCGAGGCGATGGTGATCTCGACTGGTGGTGCCGAAGAGTCGAAGGAGTACGTTGGCCCGTGAGATAGGCTTCAATTTCGCGGGGGCGCTCACCGTAGCGCGGGCAACGAGCATCAGGGTGGAAGCCGCGGAGACCTAGTTGCCGGTATTGACAGTTCCGGTATACGTGACCCGCTTCGCCACAGTGATAGCAGAGCGGACGGTTATCCGAGGTGCGCCACGTGCTTGCCTTGCTACCACTTTGTCTTGAGATAGACGGCGGATAGGTGGGTGGGCTCGAAAACCTTGAGCCGAGAGGTGGACTTGAAGCAGTGTCGTGAAATGGCTGCATAGCCTGGTACCTTGGCCGCATAGCAGTATCTGTAGCCGGTGGCGCAGGGGATCGCAATGCCGCTGCGTATGTCAGGACTGGGGCCTCGGGAATCGGCGGTGCGATTGGGGCTAGGGGTGTGACGGCCTGCCGGACTTCTTGTCTGATGACATCCGCGAGGGCTGACACAGGTGGATGGGATCCCAGTGCCTGCAGCTGTCGCAATTCGTCCCGAACGATACTTCGAATGAAGTCTGCGAGGGTCTGTCTCTCGCTGTCAGAGCCGATAGAGCATGTGGTGGCCGGGATCTGGCGTTCGTATTGTGACGACCGCTGCTGCAACGTACGTTCCATCGTAGCTGCCTCACTGATGAACTAGGCGACTGTCGTCGGTGGATTGCGCACGAGCCCAGCGAAAAGCTGTTCTTTTACTCCGCGCATCAAATGGCGCACCTTCTTTTCCTCAGGCATGGCAGGGTCCGCGCGCTTGAAGAGTCGAAGCATGTCCTCGACAAACATGGATACACGTTCGTTCGGCTGTTGGTTTCTGCTGGATATGGCTTGTTCGGCCCTCTCCTTCCTTTCGGTGTTGCGATAGGCGTCACGGAGCTGTCGGCTAAACTCTTGCCATGTTGCAAAGGAGCCCTCGTGGTTCTCGTACCACGTCTTCGCAGAATCCTCCAAGTAGAAATAAACTCGGCGCAGCTTGCGAACATCGTCCCATTCGTTGATACTGGCAACCCGATCAAAGTGGTCTAGCCAGTCATCAACATCCTCGAAGATGTCTCCATTGAACGGCTTTGGTGTCTGTGGCACGTGAAAAACATGGGCGAGAAGAGAATCATGGCCATCGCTGGTTTGGACCGCCTGGCTTGTCATCGCAGTTGCCATCTTTCTGGGTGTCGATGCCAAGGGACCAAATTCAGGGGGTAATCCACGCAGGAGGCGGCTGATTCTTGCTCTGGGAGATGTAGCTGTCTCCACGATGGCCGACACAGCCGAAGTACACGTACCCAGCACCTCCACCAGTAATGTCACGAACAAAACAAGACCTGCAGCCAGGAGTTCACTTGAACCAGAGCAACGAAGATGTTCTCCTCCTCTTCGTGCCCAAAAACGCGTATGAGCCACAGTGGCTCGTTCATCAATGGTGGCAATATATTGCCACATTCTCGCGTCGAGTTTTGTTATGGCCCCATTTGACTGTCAGTAATTCTCCACTCAAACCACGCCGACACTGTTGGAGAAGCTTCGGAACTGCAGTAGACTATTTTGTTAGAATTATGCCAACTTTGTGAACATTACAGATTATTCTGGAACTTAGGTCGCAGCTAGCGATAACGCTAGAATATTTCAATGCAAGTGTATGATTGCAGACCCACTTCGCCACTTGTCCGTTGACTGATTCCTGGTGCTCTGCTCGCCGCTATTAGTGCCAGTATCTTGCTGTAATCTGACTTCCTTTTTTTTGCGCGGCCAAAAGTTCAACCCGTATGAACTCTTATTCGACCGGCAGCTTCCTCCCTTCGTCCAAGTCACAACCTCGTGATAATAAATTTAACTGTCAAACAGCGTTAAAGAAACAATGTCGCAGAATTCCGCTCCTTACATCGTCGTTGACGCCGGTGGCGTTGTTTGTGGGCGAATGTTTGGGGAACTTTGTGAGCGAATGTTGGGGAAAAGAGCATTGCTGGTGTAAGCGTTTGGTCACGCAGGAACGTGGAGTTTCTTAAATGGTTTCACGCTTACCGATAGCGCCTTGCCTAAGTCAACGCTTTTTTAAGGGACTTTGTTCTTTCACAGCAGAAGCATTTTCCTTTTGAATTTGCGAGCCAAGACATCGACTTTCGAATTTGAGATCAACGGTCTACGCTACACGTGTTGAGATGGAGCAACAATAGCAGCAGTCACACGGCTAGCTTGCGGACTTGACGCGTTTCTTCGTAATAATATTATCTGGAATTTAACCTCTCAAAACCACCGTATGATTATGAGAGACGCCGTAGTAGTGGGCAAAAGAAATTTCGGCCACCTGGGTTTCTTTCACGTGCACCCAAATCTGAGCAAACGGGCCTACAGCACTTTTGCGTCTACCTGAAATGCAGCCGCTACAGCCAGGATTCGATCCCGTGACCTGTGGGTCAACAGCTGAGTGCCCGAGCCACTAGACCACCATGGCGGGTGTCATTATAACATTTCAAGCCAAATTTGGTGCACGCTGAAAGCCGTCGCGTCAGTGTGTGCTTCCCTGAGTGTTCTACGTTAGGATGTTTTCACCGGCTTTGGGGCCCCTGTTAAACTTGGCAAATAGCATCCTCAACGCGAAACGCAAACGCTTTTTGAGTGTCACGCATCCGCTGTGTCCTTGAAGTTATTTCTTTGTGGCTTCAAGACATTCCGGCACCTGTTCGAAAAGTTCCGATTATACCTATATACCACAAAATTTTGGCGGTCCAGCGCGAACGAAACAGATGACATGAAGGACAACGGACAAACAGCAAACGCTTCTTTTTTTTAGCCTGTATTCTGAAACGGTAAATGTACTGCATTACGCCACCTATTAAGTTCTATGTTTCCCTCTTAACTTGCCTTTGGTGTTGTGGCTAAGGTACTCGGCTGCTTTTGAGTGCACGGTAAAGAACCAAAGGTGGTCGAAATTTCCGGAGCCCTCCACCACAGTGTCTCTCTTAATCGTATGGGGGTTTTGGGACGTTAAACTACACACATATCAATCAATCGATCGATCTCTCAACTTGCATTAGGTGTTTTCTCAGTGATACAAAATATTTTATTCCGTACGGTTAACGTTAAGTTTTGTTAGCTTTGTCTTTGACATAAGTGCACTGTTAAAGACGTTCACCGATATGTGCATGAGTAAAATATGATTGTATTTTTTAGTCAAGATCTGCAACCATGTCATATTTAGAAGCATGTGTAATAGTTTATTCTGCATAAACATACTTGCCCATAAGTACTGCATCAAGACAGCAGTTTGAAAGAAAAGAAAACAAACGTCACCGCCTCGCTTCTCTGTCAACGTCTCCATCATGCTTTAAGCAAAAGAGCACCTGCGCGCGTGCTGTTGATACAAGGTCGGAAGGTTTCCACCACTGGCAAAGTTCACTGAAAGCAGTGATGACGTAGATGCCGTATGCGCTCGAACAGGCGCTAGTTCCTGAGTCGCTAGTGAAAAAAATGTGGCAGAATATAGAATGAGAACAATTTTTGTCAGAGTATTGACGTCAATGTTGTACTTCGGTCGTATGAAGAAACGTATTATGAGAACGAAGTCACGCTGTGATTGAAGAGCTTGCCGAACGAAAGAGAGAGTGATAACGCTAGAACGATTCCTGCTGAAAGAGGGAGCTTGAACCCTTCGTTTTATTGATGCAAAACGACGCTGTTGTGCTTGTTGTCTTCACTTTGATAGTGGCATTTGGTGGATACGATATAGGAAACGTGTCCTTCGTAACACTGTCACTGTCGTAGAAGATGTATTAGGGACTGAAAAATGGGCGAGTTAACCTATCCTTATCGTAGAGTAGCATGAAAATTGATAAAACGTGAATGAAGGGAACATTATGAGCGCTGATCTAACAGCTGAAAATTTATTTCAAAAAGTGCAGAGAAAAAAAATGTTTCATGCGATAATACACCCCGTCAATCGAATGGATTCCTTGTTCTGATTATGAAATAATGGCTGAATAATGCAGCTGCCAACGTATTGTATTTAGCCCCGCCGCGGTGGTCTAGTGGCTAAGGTACTCGGCTGCTGACCCGCAGGGCGCGGGTTCGAATCCCGGCTGCGGCGGCTGCATTTCCGATGGAGGCGGAAATGTTTTAGGCCCGTGTGCTCAGATTTGGGCGCACGTTAAAGAACCCCAGGTGGTCTGAATTTCCGGAGCCCTCCACTACGGCGTCTCTCATAATCATATAGTGGTTTTGGGACGTTAAACCCCACATATCAATCAACGTATTGTATTTATGTCCTTGAACGACTAGGAAATTCTCATCGCAACTGTGCTCAATAAGTCTTGTGGGGTAAAGTGGCAATCGTAAACTTACGTTGGTCACACACGCGCACTTTGTTCAACGGTGTGCGCGACACTGCGACAGGAACATAGAGTACAGAACGTCTCCTTTTGAGAACGCCTCCTCTGTTCCTGTCACTATGAAAGAAATATATGCACTCTGTGAAACACTTTTGCGCACTCATATGCACACTCGATATAAACATTGTTAAAGCACCTGCCCTCGTTTGACCTTTGTGCATCGTTCAAACCTGGTGACCATCCAGCGTAAACAAAACACGAACGATGGCGTTATACAATCTCCTCCTCATGAAAATGCTTGCTCATGCACTTCCCACTATGTAGATGACTACACATCGATAAACAGTCGTTACTGAGATTATTCGCTGATTCACACATTACGTGTGTTGCGCGGCACGTACTTATCCCAGTTACGCTTTCCGCACTAAAAGTCGGATTCAATAGAAAGTAATAACGAGGTCGGTTCTGCTGTAACGCCGAAGAGCTTCAATGAGAAAGTTTAATAACAAAACAGCCGTTTTCAGCTATGTACCACAAATGACTAACATGAATGTTCGAAAATGAGGCTTAATTAAGATGTTATAATAATTGTCTACTGTGTGCGCAGACGTTATGGCATGGCCGACGTTTTTATCTGAAAAGATATGGACGACTGCAAAGTGTTCCTTTTTTATGCGCGCATCCTAATAATGTGACGGAAGAGACCTTGATGAACTGTAAGTACTGCAAACTGTTCATAAACCATCGACCATGACACCACCCATCATGACGTTTAAGATTATTATGAATGAAAGCTTGCTAACTAAACTATAATTATAACCTCTAACCGTAGAGCGAGTTCTGTGTTATGAGACATTTGCGATTTTATAGTTACATGTCTGACACACACTACCTGCCCTATATAGATTTCACACAGTGGATCCTGCTTACGCCCTAAATCCACGAATAACAAAGATCTTAGGCTGAGAGATGCTAAACATCTGCCAGTTTCTCATGCAATGGCAGCATTCACCATATTCATTACGTTTTTTTCTTTCTTTTTCAGTTCAAACTTGGACAAAATCTGGTGGATGACTTTATTGATCCTCTCAACAAAAGTCTTCAGAATATTACATTGACGGGATGCACTAAAGATGTTGAGAAAACAGCTACATCTACTTCGGCTGTCCGCAAGTCGTGTTGACAAGATCACAACGCAAGCTGCGGCCACATACCTACCGTAGTTGTTGAGTGCATTTCCGCGTGGCTAGAGTGAAGTTTCCTTGGGGCCACATTGAGTCACACTGTCTGAACGCTAGAATCGTGTTGCGACGTTTCTTCACTGCCACGATCGGGATAGGCGATTGTTAGAGAGGGCGACTCATCTCAGAGAAACAAAAAAAGTTCGATTAACCACCTTCGAACATGCACCTCTCTAGAGATATTTGCTACGGCAACTTGGGAAGAGATCCGGAATAACCTCAGGGGAAAACATCGATAGCCTACCGACTATAGCAAACAAAATGCGTATTCATCATGTTGGCATTTTTCTTCAGTTCCCAGAAATATTTAAGTTGCACAAAAAAAAAACTGGGGACAATTGCAGTGTGATGCTTACAAGAAAATCTCTACTCAGTGTGCATTTTAGTCTCAATCAAGTCCTCAACAAAATTGTGCAACTTCACGCCTTGTGCGACGTATACCATATCAGTAGTTGCTACTACGCTTGCAAGATTTTCTCGAAATTACTCATTATCAATATATTGGATTGGGATGCCTGTAGATTGATATTCTGTGCTTTCCATTGGTTATAAATGCACTTAGGTAAATATGTTATAATTTAATTTGAGAGGTGTAGCCTTATATAGCTACTAACCTGACGGTGATGTTTTGATGTCTTAAATATGTATATTCAGGAATAATTTAAGGCTGTTTTCTCATTCCTGCTTTCAGCGCACACCACTCATAAGCAAACTCGTCTAATTTGTGTGAGCGTATGCAAAGCGAAAAAATTCTTCTATACCACTTATTAAGATACCGGTATTACCTTGTGAGTTGCCCCGTTCAGCTCTGAAACTTCGTGGCGTCCAGACACGCGGACCAATATCGAGCACTTCTAGAAAATTCTTGAGAGATTTTGCCGTGAACGAATGCCCAAAGACTCAAAATGTTCGGCCGGGACGGAATGAGAAAGCGAGCATCGATCGGAGTTGTAAATACATTGTTTGATCCGTGTCTACATGGGCTCTCTACTAGTTTAATAGGTATCATCACTGAGTGGCCTACATGTGTTCATTTACGAGATCGGAGGACTACCGAACAGCCGTTAAGTACACCTGCATAACTTATGTCATCATCATATAAGCCAACTGACAACCACTTACATTCACACATCTACATTACGTAGGAAACAAAGTGCTAACGAGTGCCAAAATGCCACTGTTCCATAGAAAGTTATCAATACTATTAAAGCGCACTTCTTCAATAACCTTCAACGTTGCGGGCATAACGATTCCTTTGAACTCGTTGGTATGTGGTCTTATGTAAATAAACTCTATTGAAGTTTGCGCCAGTGTGTGTCATGGCGTGGCATATTTTTAAAGAGTTTGTTGATATCTTTCTCAGCAAGCACACATATGCATTGGGGATTTTCAGTAGGATCAATTCTTAGTAAAATTGCACTTCCCTCCTCCCCAGGATGGGGCAGTGGTCGCATATAAGTGGAGGTGCAATAGTGAAGACCCGTGTACTGTGCAATGTCAGTGCACGTCAAACAAATCCAGATGATGGGAATTTTCGGAGTCGTCCTGCAAGGAGTCTCTCATCGTCATACACTCCCAGACGTAAAACTCTGGTTTTTACTATTAGTAATAATGCCCCTTCTACCATGCGAGATCCGCTTTTGGGAACTTGCCAGCTGTCACCACCGTATCGCGGAAGAGTGTTGTGCCACCCCCTGGCTACGCCACTGGTGGCATTGCACGGTGAATGTAATGGTTCACTATAAAAAATATATTGTATAACAATTGCCTTTGCCGGTCCAAAAATGATGAAGTCGTAATTTTTGTTACTGGCGCTACGCGGCTCTGGTATCACGATCACGAAGCAATAGAAAGACAGAGAGAAAACATTTTATTAGAAGGCCTTGAATCTACGCCTGTATAAAAACCACTCAAATGCTTCTCTGCGGGGATATAGAAAATGGGTAAAGAACTATAAAGGAACGGAGCATAAAAAAAAGTAAACAAAGATGGTTAACTGGAAAGAAGACTCAAACGCAGAGTTCTTGGGTGATTTGGTGGGAGGAGTGTGCTGCTCGAGTCATTTCTTGTTTGCGTCGTCCCACAGAAAGGCGGCAAATTTCTCTACATATAAAAGAAGAAGGACTGTCACAGGCAAGGCACAAGTAAAGTCTGTCCAGCTGACCGATATATTCAGATATTTAAGTACACAATCGTCACGTTTTTATGTTCCTTGATGAATGCGTGCTTTTCCAAAACACAGGGTTGTAGTACAGATCTCTGGGTGATCAAACGCTTCTAATGAGCATGCCGTCGGTCGTACAGACATCCGAATTCCGCTGCCTTCGGAATAGGTGACCAGTAAAAGAGCGAAGGATTGCGGGATGCACCGTCTGCTACCACCTTCCGGTTCGAGAATAGTAGACGACAGCGAACCACTTCGCCGCAAGCCTCAGATTATTCGGGATTCGCGCACGGTCACCCAATAATCTTCGTCCTGATAAACCATGGTCGGTTGTTCAGCCGTTGGCTGCTCCAACTCGAACGTGAGAGGCAAACGGCATGTATCGATTCCCATGGAACGAAGAAAGAAAATTGAGGTGTGCCGCAGATGTGAAGAGAGCCACAGCGACAGGTAGCCTTTGAGTACGGAACGTTGAAGTCAGAGTGTGCGGAAACCATTTTATCACAGGTGCGTGTGTATTCCACACTAAAAAAAGCGCTTACGCATGAATTTGCTGCGAATATTATATTGAGAAATAAATTGTCGTGTAAGCGCCTAGCAAATATATTATGGGTACACGCGAATGAAATCGACTAGCCAGACGAGATGAGTTCCAGCCATTGCACTCATATATATGAGAAAAAACACAAAAGCTCCACTCGACAGTATGTTTACACAAAGCGCTGGAGGAGTCTATTTGCGTTATTTTGGTCAAACTGTGCGCACGACGGCACCCGAATGAAGAAGTGCGTTAAGAAAGCGGAAGGTTTCGATGATTCGGCGCCATCAATGTCTGACTGTATTGTTTTTGCGCCACCGTACCGCGCAGCTTTATGAAGATCAGCGTTTAAATAAGCATCTGGCTTCGACTAAAAAATACATCTTATATATAGGCGCTGAAGGCTTGAAAAAAATATATCTCTACGCGCTCAACAGGTGCTGCACTTCATGCCGATCGACCGACGATGTCGGCCGAAGCAGCGATCCCGAAATGAACTCTGAGCACACTGCCACAGTCATCCCCATCCCCTGAGATCTTTAAAATGGGGATTTTTTTATCAGCAGGAACGTATCATACAATAAGAATTGTTTTCTGTACCGACCGATCTGCTAGCCAAACTGACAGTATACCACCGCACATCATAAAGGCATTGCAGATCATTTTAGTGCGATAAAACAGTTTCCTTGCCGTTCATGGCTTCCGTAGCTTGTCATCGTCCCAGTCATGGTTAGCAAAAACAAAAAACTAACTTCGAAAGCAGTGACACTGCACGGAGAGGCGATTTTTTCAACGGAGCGGTACAAAATGCTTGCGTGTCGCTGCTAACCCGCGTGGTGCGTCGAACCGGAAGCCGTCGTATGCCACAGTTCCCTGCGATTGCCCATTTTACCGGTCACCTACTGCACGTCGTTTACGCTGCTTACGTCATCGAAATGCAACACGGCATATTCTGTCACGTACAGCGATAACCAGACATTTGGCTCAGAATATGTCCCGGATCTTTCCGCGGCTACCTACACCCACGCGTTCTATTAGCGTTTCGCTATGGCGAATCGTATAAACTGGAACAGAGTCGTCGTATTCCTGCTGACTAGCCACTTGTTGGCTTTGAATGACAACAGAAACTTGCAATCGCTGACGAAAAATTGAGGCAGCTTCACCGAGTAGTGCTAAGCTTGAAGGGACTGCGGAGCTGGGCGGCTATTCTTCTTTCTTTCTTTCACTCTTTCTTTATTAATTTATTTATTTATTTATTTATTTATTTTTTCTGTTCTGTTCCAGCTTTTCCTGCCATGCTTTTGCTCGCGTATATCCACTCATTTCTGTTTGTTCGTTTCTACTTCTCTCTTAGTTCTACTAATTGCTTGCTTGCTTCCTATATTTTTCTATTTTTACTCCTGGCTTTACCTGTGTCACGCGAAGGGATGACAGTATACAGCAGCCTAGGCCCCTAAGAGTGATCCACTCTAAATATCATAGAGGCGGTCGAAGAACAAGAATTCTGAGCCATGCGATCGCACACTCAGTACGTTACATATGTTCATACTTGGTCATCAAGAAAGTAAGTGGAGATTTAAGGTCTCGTTTTTTTTCTGTTACACAAACTTTTATTAGAAAATAACATAAAATAATGACAAATGAAGTGCGGCTGGGTTAACGCAGATTTAGAATCGGCAAAAAATCCCACATCTGTCACTCGGTCAGCGCAGAACAAAGAGGACCACTTCTGTGACGTCGTGAAGTTCAGTTGTCGTAAGTAATGTCCTCCGCTCCAGCCCAGTTGATGGAATTTTCTCGGTCGAGTGCAAATAATGCCCACAGAAGGAAATGCCCCACGTTGTTGAGGTGTCATTGTATATATGGGTGTGCAGGGAACATTTCTCGGCTAATTACAGGAGAATTGTCTGCCGCAGCACTCCGTCTTGAGCGGCTTTTTGGTTTATTTATGCAGAGTGAAATGAGCTTTGTTTAGAGAAAAAAAGTTTCCAGGAAGGGAATGTCGGAAGAAGTCACTGAGCGCCGAAGAAAGCTGCACATCGTAATTTATTTAAACAACCCCGAACGTCTGGCACCGGGACATTGGAAACTGGCCTCCGCTCTCTGCGTATTCCCCTTCTTGTGGCTTGACTACGAGAGCACGCGTGCCGATCGGTCCGGCGTGGTATGCAGAGAACAAATACAGAGATAGAGAGAGAAAAACGGGGCCGAGAGAGAGGGAAAGAAAAAGCGAAGGAGAAATTGTTGACGAGGTGGAATTAGAATCCATCTATCCCCGATCCAAAGACAAGCTTCGTCACACCTCGACTATCGCAGGCAGCGGGACAGGACCTAACACAGTCTTTTATAGTGTAATAAGCCGAGCGGGAAGGAAAGAAAATGAGGGTGAGGAGGAAGGAGACGAGAGGAGAGCATAAAGCATGACATAGAAAGAAAAGGGCAGCGGTTAGAGAGAAAGAAAAGAAAGAAGGTTCAAGAGATAGATAGAAGCGTAGATTTTGTCGGGCCGATTGGCCCTTATCTGCAGCAAGTACGTTGGAAGCGGGCGACCGGATAACACACGGAGCATTGCCCATGCGTGCTACGAGCTGGCATTGTTGAAGAAAGCCACTGGGGGCAAGGCAGAAGAACGCCGGTCGATAGCAATTGATTGATTGATTGATATGTGGGGTTTAACGTCCCAAAACCACTATATGATTATGAGAGACGCCGTAGTGGAGGGCTCCGGAAATTTAGACCACCTGGGGTTCTTTAACGTGCACCCAAATCTGAGCACACGGGCCTACAACATTTCCGCCTCCATCGGAAAAGCAGCCGCCGCAGACGGGATTCGAACCCGCGACCTGCGAGTCAGCAGCCGAGTACCTTAGCCCCTAGACCACCACGGCGGGGCTACGTGAGTACTGCAGAGCAGAGGCCACGCCGGTTTTGGGCTTCCGCTAAGGTGAGTCTCTGGCTCGTCTTAGACTATGCCGTGAGTTGCATGCAATTTCGTTTGCGGTCCTGCCGTTATGTTCTGTTGACCGCGGGTAGGCAGCGATGGTTCGTTCTGGGCCTTTGGTGCCATTGCATGCACTTGTGCCGTGTTGTGCCGACCTGGAAGGCTTGGTGAGATTATTTTTAGCCGTGAATCAAAAGCGGTCATTGTTCCCACTGTTGCTGGCTCGTGTCATGTGAATTGCGGCTTGCTGACCCTGAGCAGAGGCGAAGGCACCCAACGTTGTTTTTTGTGTAGTTTTTCTTCTTTTCGCGGGAGTTAACTTCCGTAACGCGGGAAGCGCACGCATAAGGCACGCATCCTGTCAGTCAATCCCAGACGGAATATGTGTTGCGCATAATGCAATGCTTTTGCGTTCCAGTGGAATTACAGCTTGCAAAGGAGAAAACCCTACGGACCGAACGTCCGATATATTGCCCGACAAGGTAAAACGGGACGTGTCCGCGCCAGATACGTCTCGTACCGTCAACCAGCTGACCACATTGCTAGAACGCCAGGCTACACCAGCCGACAGTTTTCGTTTGCGGCTGGCAGGGGCTATATACGAAGTAAACACTGGAAGAAATCAATTGCCGACTTTTTTCAAGAGTTACAAGACTACCTTGACGCGCAAGCCCTCGAAAATGACA